AATAAGATAACCTTATTTTTTTAAAGATCGCTTAATAGAGTTTATATTAACATTATTGTCTCAAAGATTTTATTCAAGTTATTGAGCACAAACAATATCCAATTCCTTGACCGTCGTAAGGCGAGTCATTTTTTTTTTGCGAAACATTTCAATCTCTTCATGAATGTTTTTAACTAATCGGGATAGTTCACTTTAGCGAGTTCACTTTAACAAGAAATTCTAAAAAAAAGTTAAAATTCATAGCCGTTTCACTGTTTTAGTGTTACTTCCTTATATACTAAATGGAGTTTGTGAAATGTATTAAATATACTTTCTAATCATCAAGTTTTATGCTAAATGAACAGTTTTTTTTAATTTCATTAAAGCTATCACACCTGTTAAATAGAACATTCCAAGGAAAAGGCGCGAAGATTAACTCGTGGCGTTTGGCGCGAATTTATGAATAGTGACTAGCTTTCATAATTCTAAGACAAAAGCACTGTTATACAGAGGTATATACAAGAAGATTTAGAGCAGAGGTCCCGACAGATTACGTAATATTTAGCGCGTTGGATTTTCATGCTGCCGACTTGGATTTAATCCCCCTTGCGTGTAATATTTTTTTTACCTTTTCATCTAGATTTTACAAGGGTTTTTTTTTTTTCGGAATCAGACGGAAGACCTCTCGTTGCTAGCAACGAGATCGTATCTAGTTTCTATTAATATTCCTATGTCGATATGATTTATCCTGGTGAGCTTGAGATAAAAGATTCCACAGAGTCTGACGAATCTGTTTCATACTTGGATACTCTACTTAAAAAAATACATTAATGGTAATCTAATTACCAAGCTTTATGATAAACGTGATGACTTTAACTTTTCTATCGTCAACACCCCTTACTTATGCAGCAATATACCTTCATCACCTCCATATGGAGTTAATATATCTCAACTGATTCGATTCACAAGAGCATTGTCAAACAAGTTGATGAAACAAGAATATCATGAGTCCCGTTTAACGTCATCATTTTGCAAGTTCTATGGCCGATACAATGACCTTGTCAGCAAATACAATTTATCATTGACTCAAATGCTGACAAACGTTTTTCACATCAAGTGTTAGTCAATTATTTATACGCTGAATTGACGATGGTTTTTCCGTTATTTCCCGATCACGACAAGGACAATGACGGTCGACAGGGGATGCTCACTCCTCCATGGTACCTGATCCCACCTCTGATGTTTTAGAGGTCTGTGTTTGCTCTGCTCCTGTTTTGTATTGTTTTATGGACTTTTGATCTTGAATACTGTTCGTTATCTTCATAATGTTTCATAATAAAGAATTTTTAAAAGTTTTATTTAATCTTATGCAGTGGTATAGGAGGAGTTAAAGTTAATCTGTAATCATGTACACAGTGGCATCATATTAATATACCCCTGCTTGAAAAGTGGCAAGGAATAAAGTGATCGTAATGTCCGTTTATTTGTACGTCTATCTGTCTGTTACGTTTTGGGGTCATTTAATCATTCAATCAATAACCACAGTTAAAAATTCTTTATGAGTTTTTAATGAGCATTTTTAAAATAGTTTTTAAAACAAGAGGCCCATGGGCCTTATAGGTCACCTGAGTATCATGCAACAACTTTCCAACAAGTGAATTTGATTCATGTTTTAATCTAGAAGCCATGAAATTCACAATTTTGAAAGAGGCACCATTGCTTGTCATAATTATGCACTCAGCAAACTTACTTTGGTTAGAAATACCCAGAGGTACATGTAGATCACAGTAACAAAGAGAAAATGCATTTCCACTTTATCATTATCAGTTGTGCACCCCACCCAACAGAAACCACTGACCTTGGGGCCACATCTTTCAAAATTTTGGAAATTTTATAAATTTTATTTATCATGTTGTTGATTAATACCAAAGTGCAGATTTCAAAGCATTAAATCATTTTCAGACCCCCCCCCCCACCCAAGTACCTTTGTCCCAGGGGCTAGGAAATTAAGCATTTTTGGAAGAAGCAGTGTTCTTCTTCATAAATTATACTAAAATCATTGCCATAACACCCCGGATCAAAGGAAAAGATTTTCAAAGAATTTATGCATTTTCACTATATAAACATTAGAGCCCCGCCCTAACACAAGAAGCCCTGACCCAGGGGCCCTAAAATTCACAAATCTCAAAGAGGCATCTTTCCTCCTCATAACTAATTACATAGTTCATTGGTTTAATACCCAGGTGCAGAAAAGAAGATTTTTAAAGAGTTTATGCATTTTCACTATATAAACAATAGAGCCCCGCCCTAACACCAGAACCCCTGACCCTGGGCCATAAAATTCACAATTTTAGAAGAGGCAGCCTTATTCACCATAACTATGCACTTGGTTAGTTTATTTAATAAGAGCAGAGAAGAAGAATATCAAAGAAATAATGCATTTTCACTATATAATCTATATAGCCCCGCCCTGCCACTAGAACCCCTGACTCTGGGGCCATTAGATTCACAATTTTAGAAGGGGCAGCCTTATTCAACATAACTATGCACTTGGTTAGTTTATTTAATGCCTGCAAACAGAAAAGAAGAATATCAAAGAATTATTGCAATTTCACTATAATAATCTATATGGCCCCGCCCTAGCACTGGAACCCCTGTTCCTGGGGTCATTAAATTCAAAATTTTGGAAGAGGCAGTCATTTACATCTCAACTATGCACTTGGTTAGTTTTAGCTGCAATAATGTAGCCCTCTCCTTTTTTTTTTTTTTTTTTTTTTTTTTTTTGGGAGAGGGCTACAACTCCTTAGGATCTCCGTAATGGTGCAGAGCGGGAGCGATTCGCTCCCGCACGGATTTCGGCTTAAATTGCTAGTAAACGGCTATTTTATTTATATGTCTTACCTGGACTTCCAAAATGTAGTTATCCCAGACATAAATCGATCCAAAAATATACAGAACAATCCATCTATCAGTATTTTTCGTGTATGTCAACATCACAACTTAAATTTATCCGCCATGTTTACTGACCTTGACAGATTTTATTTCGGAACAGCCAATGAGATTAAGGATCCATAGGGAGCGGATTTCTTTGGAATTACCTTATTTTAAGCTTAAATAACGGTGTTTACAAAAAAATGAAACATGGAATGATTTTATTTATCGATGTTTAGTGTTACTATTCATCACAATTATTTATAAACATCGACATTTGCTTTATTGAGTTGTTCTAAATTTCAAGCGCAAGTCTCACTACGTCACGCGTGAACTGTCATGGCTGCTGAAGTGAATGCACAGATTTATTTTACATGGTTTTCGCGTTTAACGAGCTTTGATGTCGACAGTGAATAAAAATTTCGTCTTATTAGAAGTAAGTTGATTGTGAAAACAATTTATTCTGCCTGCAGTCGCCAGTATTTACAAAATATTTTTGCACCATTACGAAGATGCTGTGGAATTGTAGCCCTCTCCAGAAAATAACAGATTAAAAAAATCGGAGAGGGCTACATTATTGCAGCTAGGTTAGTTTATTTAATGCCCAGGAGCAGAAAAGAATTTCAAAGAAATAATGCATTTTCACCATATAACCTATTTAGCCCCGCCCTAGCACTGAAACCCCTGATCCTGGGGCCATGAATTTCACAATTTTGGTAGAAGACTTAATGCTGATTACAATCATACCAACAGTTTGACTGCTTGATGTCCAGGAGTAAAGAAGAAGATTTTTAAAGATTGCACTAATTTTAGTGGTTTTTGCCCCACCCACCCCAGGGCCCGGGGGGGGGGGGGGGGCAGGGACCATGAAATTCACAAGTTTTGTTCCCCTTCACCTATAGATGCTATATGCCAAATTTGGTTGAAATTGGTTCAGTGGTTTCAGAGAAGAAGCTGAAAATGTTCAAATGTTAACGCACGACGAACGACGGACGAAAACAGAAAGCAATAGGTCACCTGAGTATACTCGGGTGACCTAAAAAAACATCTGGATAGCTTAATGGTAAAGCGACCGAAATTCTTGTGTTTCGGTAGATCTTGGTTCAAATCCTAGTCCAGATTTTTAATTCTCTTTTAAAAAAAAAATCAGTGAAAACATTTGAAGACCAATAATTCTTTATTCTCCAACTTTTCATTACAAATGAAATGTGAAACATAACTAAACGTTACAAACTCTAAAGTCAATTCAACAATGATTATTTATGTAAATTGGAAACAAAGCAGATCATAAAGAGACTTTTAAAACGTCAGAGGTGGGATCAGGTGCCTTGGAACTGTAAACATCTCTGTCAACCGATCACCACCCGTTCTCCTATGCATACGGAAAACGTAGTCAAATGATATGAATGAAAAACAAAATGGAAAGTGTATAAAGTGAAACATCTAGAGATAACGAACAGTAATCAAGATCAAAAGTCCATAAAACTGCCAACCTTTGCAAAACTAACAGCTTGTTCTACACTGTGTAAGATGTACAAAATGAGTCATTTCTGCGACACAGATTTGTAAATTAAAAACGTTTTAACAAAAACAAACAATTAAGAAAACAACCACATTTGGCACAAATATATCAACAGTATATCATTGGTCAACTTTTTCATGCTAAGATCGTTATTTTATGCTGACAGACACTAGCTCGCCAGACGATAGAGTGTTTGTATGATATACCTACGATTTTACTTTCCTTAGGGTGGATTTGGGAAAAAAAAGAATAAGAAAGTTAAACCTCGCTAAAGAAAACCTACGTTGTAAGATGATAAATTTCTGCGTTTTCATTCATTTCTGAAGTAAGGAGTTAATCCTTACGTCGCGGGTTCGAATCCCACTGCGGGACGTGGAGACCGCGGTCCTTCGGATGAGACCGTATAAACCGAGATCCCATGTCGCAGTAGATGCTGGCACAAAAAAGATCCCTCCCTGCTCAATGGCCCTGAGTGCCGAGTATAGGACAAAATTTGCAGTTATCCATGGCAAGAGTGGCGTCTCCATATGAGAGAAAAATTCTCAAGAGGGACGTTAAACAATATACAGTCAATCCAACATTTCTGAACTCAATTTCAATGGATTTGTCCGAGTCATTTTGTTTTCTGTATTGTCTGAACCTTGAACTGATCTAAATTTGATTATTGCTCAATTTTTAATTCATTAGTTTCTTTCAAATTCCTCGTACATAGGAATTTTTTAACCATTTATTTGACCTTGACCTTAGGGGGAACCTTTTTCTCTCTTATAAGAGGTGCTCGAAAATGATTAATATCCTTTCCTAAGATCCCACATCCGGGAATATTTTCCAGACCAAACTATTTCGCCTTAAGATCTATCATTGCCTTAGACTACCATTTTGGTGCTTGTAACGACAGAAAAAAAAGATCAGAATCCCTTCTTCTGTGGTCGTGTAGCTGGCTGGTTATCTAATTCCCACTTGGTACAAACATTGTACCTCCATCTCTATCATTCGTGCACGTCGTGCTATACTTGTTACCAGGAGGAAAACTGCATCTAAAATTTGAAGGGTTTATAGATTAAATGTTTTAAAATAATGTAAATTTTTTTAGGCGAATGATATTCTTACACTGAAAAGTAACTTCAATGATCAACATCAAAAGACGAAAAAGAAAACTTTAAAATATTGAAAATTTTGCGGCAGATTACTGCTAATACCGTACTTTGTTCTTTGGAAAATTTTCAATGACAATGAAATTGTACAACATACTTGCAACATGGATTGAATTCATTCCTGATGTTGAAAATCGTTGTATTGTAACCATTCAATCTCGCAATCGAATAACCAAGAGCGATCAGCAGCAAAATGAACGAAATAACGATTACCACTATTCCAAATATTAGAATAGACGAATCTATAAACAAAAATAGATAATAAATGTTTTTTTAAAAAATGTAAAATTAGGTGATTAATTCAAAAATCCAAAACAGATCATGGTGACTCTACCTATGCAAATATTTTCGTCTTCTTCCTTTTTTGGTGAAATGTTGCTGGAGTCATTGGTAACACCTTAAATGTAGAACATGTACAACTGATTTTGATATAAATTTATTGTAGTTATTAAGTTTCATTTAAATCATTTTATTAGACAATTAACATACCTTTTTGTCTTTCAAATAGTTTACACTGAATTTGGCATTGGTCTGGTGGACTTTTACTGTGACATAAAACCTCGGAACAGTATTTACAAATTTTATCATCCGTACAAAATTGCGTTATTCCTTCGCATTCTACAGCTCCACATTGGAAAGTGTAATTAACGCCGCTTAAATCAATCGTAGAAAAGGGTCTATCTGTTTCCTTTGTCTCTACCATATAAACACATACATGTACAAGAAGAATTGCTGTTGAAAATCGTCCCGCCATTATCTCTCTCTTCGTTTACACACCACGTCTCTAAATATAGTAAGTGGAATTCCCAGTTTAACACATACAATGTATATATGCGCACTTAATATTATTTTAATTTTTTCTTCTTCTAAAGTCTGCTTTAAAGTTTTGTGACGTGAAAGTAGAAGTAGTCTTGGTATTATAAATTTATTTAATAGTATTGTACAGGTTTTAATGCTTACTTCTAGAATTTTCTTGCTATATGTATACCAAGAAAATTCTCAAATCTAAAAATAACACCTTACAAACACGTCACCCCTTAATCAATAAACAGTTTGCTTAAAGTTACGTCAGTATGAATAAAATAGCACAGTTAGGTAATGATATGCCAGAGATATATGAGTGTGTATATATATCACCTTCTGCTTTACCCAGTGTATTATAGGTATAATATGTTTTGTATGTTTCTGTACCTCATGTATATACCATTTACATGGTTTTGAAACCACAGATTATATTAAAAGTAAATTAACATGCTATTTTAATTTAAATCATACTTAAAAAATACAAAAATTATGAATTTGAAAGAACAAAATGTTAATTAATCGTTAGTTAGCCACTTTGAACATGGCATCAGATCATAACAGACAACAATTTAGGCGTGTCTTTTAACTTCAGCTTGGGTAATTGTATTTCATTATGAGGTTTCATGTTTTAAATTTGTTATTCCGAAATTATTTGTAAGTAGAGGTAAATAAATTCATTTTTAAAATAATCTTTTTGTAAGTAGAAGTAAATAAATATATTTTTAGCTACATTGCTATTTTTATATCCCCCGCTTGAAAAGCATATAGTAATCCGGGATGTCCGTCCATCTGCTACGCTTTGGAGCACCCATCTCTAATCCGCAACTCTCCTTTACCACTGAATGAAATTTTAATGAGACTTCCACGGAATCTTTCTTAAATAATGCCATTGTGACCTACTATATGTTACGTTTTGACCGGATACATATTTCGAGTTTCCACGAGCAAAACATGGACACGGCCATTCTTTCTATAATATTGAAGGGTAGCGATCTCTTTTCCACAACTCTTCCCATGCCACTGAATAAAATTTAATGATACTTTCACAGATCCTTTTTTCATAGTCTTTGTGCATCTCCTATTTTACTTTTTGATCCGACATTTATTTCGGGTCTATAGCAAAACAGTGACTTTATTACCATATGGGAGGCGAGGTGTGTAATTTACTGAGCTCATTGCACACAGTACCTCTAGTTATTATTTAATTTTATTATTTTATATTACTATATCATTAACTCATACAAGTTATTTATCTAGAAACGTATTTTCTTCATAAGAGGGCACACTATAAGAAAGGGAAATTAGTCTTCTCGAAACTTATATTATTGTATTTTACCTTACCTACATAAAAGAAGTACAATGTACATATATATACAGTAAAACAAACACAGCATTTATGTTCACTTTTATTGAAACAGATAACAGCTAGGGTAAATTTCAACAAAAAAGAGACAATAACCTTCATAAATATTTTACATGTGTGTTTCACATTCAAGGATTATCATACCTTTGTTCAATAACATGAAAGTTTGTAAACATTTAATATGATCTTCAAAAAGAAATCAATCATTAATAAAGTACAAGCGATTTCAGCATAATGAGTAAGGTACATAAATAACCTTTAACTTAACAGTTTTATAAAGGATACATATATTTCATTTATTCCACGTATAGTTCCTCTTTTATAAGAGGGTTTATGAACATTATATCATATAATTTAAAATGAAATATCTAGATCATAATTATATATGAATGCTTTGAAATATGTGTACATGCATATGCATGTAATGATTGTTGTAATTTTAGAAAATAAGTTGCATGTAAACAAGTATATTTGTGTTGTATGTTTTACATAACGAGCAAAATATTTTTATTGTATGTTTAGTAATATTTACAAAAAAAAATTATTGGTTTGGAGTATCTTTACCACATCATAATAAATAAATATTCTAAGGGTGTGTTGAAAGAAATTTAAACATGTTGCTCTTTTTGTTGAACATACGCTGCAACTGTGAAAATATTTCTAAACTGAGGATGTCATATCATCTCTGTGGAAACTTCTTTTCCTGTCACCAGCATTGCTGTCTGACCTTCCAAACTGCTATTTACCACCACTGGTAGTGCTAAATTCCTTTTTGAACTGCAAGAATACAATATTTCAGTTGAAGACACAGCTATAAATATTATGTACATGAAATTCCACATTCACTTGTCATCACGCTTGATAAGATACTTGCCGATTATTTCGCCTCACAGACATCCTTGCAAGCACGTTTGTAGCTATCCATTGTCTTTGCATACAGATGATCACCAAAATTAGGGTCAGATTTAACGCAAGAGACGTGAGAAAGTAATGATTTGACAGAAGTTCTGAAAAAGAACATAAAAAATATACATTCATTGGTTACGCTTAATCAAAACATATACGTGAATTATTTCAACTTTTCCATTATTACGGTACATAATTTTTTTTTTTTACAGTAATCACATTATATTGTTTACTATGGTGGTGATTATTAGTCCACTTTAAATATGTTTATATATATATATTGTTCATTATACAAAAATTATTTTAACTGATATTGACATTTTGGATAATGCACAGGTAAATTTCACATTTATTGTCTCTCAATAAAATATATTGCTATTGAAAACAAGTATTTATAAAAAGAGGTAAAATTTTTAAAAAAATACCTACCCACTTCATTTAAGCTTTTAGATACGGATATGTTTCCACAGTTTAAATACGGTTTATCAACATCTAAAACAGATAAACAATTAACAAGATTTTTTTAAAACTATAAAGTACTATAAAACAGTCATTTTTACAACAAAAAAGATCTCGTTGACTATATAAAACAGATAATTTACGAGAATTTAGTAGCGATTGTGACATTAGTAGTAGACAAAAGTGATTTTATTGACTATGAAGATACATAATTCTTTTTACAATATACTGATATAATAAAAAGAGTCGTTTTATTGACAATAACGTTTGCGTTGACTTACCTCTGCTCTTCAATAAGCAGAAAATTTCGCATCCTGGGGAATGGTTGTCACAGTCAGTATCTGTACAATAGAGACAGCGTCCGTCATCCCCACAATGACTTCCAAACTTACAGACATGGTCGCCACAAGTCGACAAACATGTCGATTTTAGTAAAGTTACGTTGAAACAAATACTACCATCAAGTGGTAGACCTGAGGTAGTAGCAATATTTAAAAGATAGAAAATAATTCTAATTAAAAAAGATATTCCTCGTAATCTAAACATGATTATTACTAGTATATATCATAAATGGATTGTGGTAAATCTATAAATAAATGACGTATTTTCCCTAGTATATAAATAGAAAAACTGGAAATGTTGGGTAATTCCACAGAAAATATTTACCTTTTCCATAGGAATAATTTCAAAAAAATGCAGCGATAAGGATTATTTTAGTTACGTCACAAACATCAGAAAAATTCAACTCTACAAATAAGGGGATATTTTAACAAATTGTTCACCTTAGTGTCCACTGCTGCAAAAGGAATTAAAAAAGAGGAAAAAGATTATATTAGAAACTTAAGTATTTCAATTAACTTCAAATTCATTTTTACAGGTATATACATTTAAGGTTACAGAGCGAATTTTCGGTCCGTAACATGCATCTGTGGTACATGTACGTAAAGTGCTCCATGTGTCATTTCTCCTAGACTTTTCATATAAGAATTCGGCACATCTTTAAATCCATTTAAGCGATCGAGCAGACAAAATGTTGGTAATGGTCTTTGCAATATCAGGAAGTAAATTATGACTTGATTATAAAATTGGAAGTTCTGGATACTATTTCAAGGAGGTATTTAGAGCACTGAGCTCACTAAATGATACCCCCGTGTCCCATATGGTTCATGTTTTGCCATGGGAGACCCGAAATAAGTGGCTGATCAAAAAGGCAAAATAGATGCTCAATTGCAAAGAATATGTGTATCATCAAATTTTATTCCGTTGTATAGGAGGAGCTGCGGATAAGAGATGGTACCCTTCAATATAATAGAAAGAATGGTAGTGTCCATCCATGTTTTGCTATGGGAGACCCGAAATATGTGTCTGATCAAAAAATAGAATAGGTGTACAATGGTACTACGTTACAAAGATTCTGTGAACGTCTTATTAAATTTCATTCAGTGGTAAAGGAGGAGTTGTGGATAAGAGATGGGTATCCCAAAGCGTAACAGACGGACGGATGGACGTACAGACAGACGGACATCCCGCTCACTACTAGTATATACCCTCCCACATTTTAAAAGAGGGGTATAAAATGATATCACAAAACAACATTAAAATGTACAAGTTTTCAACACTTTATACAACGACTCCCCCAAGATAAAATTAAATGTAGACTTTTTGACACCATCTTTCACTAAATATAGAACTTATTTAATAATCTAAACACTAGTATAGAATTAAATAATATTGTAACTGGTCATTTGAAAAATTATTTTGTTAAAAAAAATTCTGATTATACACACAAGAACCCTGAAGTTGATGTAAAACGATGCGTGAGTTTCTGATTGGCATTATCTAAGAAGTTTTAGTAGACCAGGTCTTCCAACAATCTGTCGTAATTCTCATTGGTACCCCGATAACTTTCGTATGATAATAAGCTGTTCATTTGCAATCATTGTATTTCTAAAATTAATATGACCCAATTAGTCTCTGGGATGTCTTTTATTTCGAGTTCAATAAAAATCATAGTTTGAATGTAATTGAAAAATAGTTACAGTATAATTGATAAAACCTCGTTGATATTTTATCTAGTATCTAGTAGTCGAATTGTAGTCCCAAAAACTTTTTTTTTTCTTTTAAAGGTTTAAGAATACAAACGGGTCTGAGGAACTCGAGCATCTTTTAAAAATTTAATATCAATCGAAGAGCACTAATGTGTTGGATTTTTTTCTAACAAAATAAATTCATGGATGACCGATACGTAAATTTACGATTCTATTTTTGTTGAAAACTCCCTTGTCTATGATGTCAAAAGGCCTACATGTGCTTTAATTTAAAGGAAATTGCTTAAAGTGTTGAAAAGTCGCATGTCTTGATTCTATTGATTATACCCCCGCTTGAAAAGTGGGAGGGTATACTGTAATCGGCATGTGACTTCCAAAGCACTGGGGTACACATTTTTATTCGCAACTCCTCTTATACCACTGAGTAAAATATAATGAAACTTTCATACAATCTTTATTACTTACTGCCATTGTGCACCTCCTATTTCACTTTTTGATCCGACACATATTTTGGGTTACCCGGCCACAGCAAAAACACAGACTTTGACATTATAACCATATGGGAGGCGGGGGTATCATTTAGTGAGCTCATTGCTCACAGTACATCTAGTTTCTTTTTTAAATTGTGATTTCAAATTTTAATTTCCCAAAATTCACGTTTGATTAAGGGTAAGATTTAGTAAATGAAAGATGCCTACAGATTTATCAAATTCGAGAAATAAATTCCTTTAATGATGCTTTACAACTTTAGCTTGGTCAAATAAGGTCTTTCCGGGCCTAATGTGATGGTAAATAAGATGAAAATCATATTTTAAACTGTCATTTTCAATGAAAAATTATGAAAATCAGTCATAAATATGGGAGTTTTTTTCATATTCAACAAAGGAAATGTATCTAGATTGCCTACAGTCTCTCAGAAAACAATATTTAGTATGTTCATCGCCTCTTCTTTAGTATATCAAATTTAATATAGGTATTGGGATTACTTTTCAAAGGATTTCAAACTGAATGCCATGAAAATACCCTATTTTCTACATAATTCTGCTAAAGCCGTCAAGTACGGGAAAAGGAAAATTGAAATTGATTACGACGTCATAATGGATCTAGCATAAAAAATAAGTCTGAAGTCATTTACTAGATCTTGACCTTAACGCTTCAAGAATATTTGTTGTTGCACAGCAATCCTGATGTTTCTCCTTCACTGTTAAAATTTTCAGAAGGGGTAAAGAAAGACGGCTGGCAGAATATATAACTTGCTATGCATTGTTAAACTAATAGATTTATAGGAATCTGGTATTGAAATTGGAATCAAGTATTCAAATTCATTTAGGTTGTTGGGAAATAATTCGTTTTACAAAAACCTTTATATTTTTTCACTTCTGAATCATTGAAGACAGAAGTATCTATAGATGGTTTTTATATATTCCCATCCCTTTAACATGAAATTTCAACATACTTCTGAATTATACTTTCAATCAGTTCTGAGAAAGACTCATCCCCTGAAATAATCTTTGGCAAAATTCATATATCTATGAACATTTACTGTATACGGGGAAATTTTCATGTCACACTTAATGATGTGTCCCCATTCGCTTAAGCTATAGAGATATGATCATGTTGGGGATTATATTTCAAAACGGGGCGAATGCAAAGAACACGGTATGTCTTCTTAAATAAAGCTATGACTGGGCGAATTTAAAACGGGGAAAATTGTCTGCAAGTGTGAAAAGGGCGAAAATAACACGGACCGAAAATAACCCAGTATACAGTACTATTTTTTAGTCCTTTTAAATTCTCATTGTAAGCTATCTTCACGTCACAATTAATGATGTGTCCAGAAGCTAGGACTTAAGCTATAGAGAGAACATAATCATGGTGTGAGAATTAAAAAATCAAATATCTACTGTTGTAAATACACAGAATCTTGCACTCAAAATCTAGCTCTTAAATAGCTTCATAAACGTTGCTTTATACACTGTACATGCAATAGGTCAAAAGACACTTTAGCAAAAGTTTATTTATATAAAATCATTGAAATATTTAAACAAGTACAAAAAAAGAATAACAACACATGTAAATATTGCACAAATTACAATAAATATACATATGGAAAAGTGAATGTGTATTATACCTGTGTTTCACACCTATAATATACAATTATGGACTTCAGTGTAGGTCGATATGTGGTTATAAGGACTCATGGCAATTGATATTGACCGAATACACAGAAAGTGATAGCGACCTCTTCAATAGCTTCATAAACCTTGATATGTAATAAGAAAAAATTCCACTAAAGTCCAAATAGTTTATTTATATAATCACTCAAAGTGAATGCACTGCCACAGTCCTAACTAAACAGACTTGGCTGTCATTACGTCACATTGGTGAAATTTCTTTCATATTATGACATCACGTTCTATGTAACTTCAGTGCAACCGAATGCTGTGTCGTGCGATATCATTTTCCACGTCGACATCACAAAAGGAGGAATATCACCTGACGTTCTTTCAGCCAATGAAAATTACAAAAATAATCTTCTTATATAATATAGTGTATTTATGTCTATTGCATTGCAATAGCAACCCCACCTTACACCCAAATTACTTTGGTTTTGTTCAACATGAACTTCAGTTTTCTTAAAAAGACATTTTTTTTCCTCCTATACTTGTTAAAGTGCTCTTCAATTTCACCTCCCCTTTATAAACCTGTTTTATGATAGCATTACACAGTGGATTTTTTTAATTAAAGTGACTTTTACCTGTGTATTTCAATATGTTAATGCAATATGCAATGGCTTTGTTAAAATTGTGCTGAAAAAAGTAAATTAAAAAAATGCTAACTACTCATCCAAAGGCATTTTTCTTCATTATCTGTTAATGAACCGCTAGAGCTTTTACATATATGATACATGTACTAATTATGTTATTATTACAAGGTGCACTATCAAATAATGCTTTGCATAAAAATTCATAACCTTAACCTTTTCCATTTGTATATAATATTATTAAAAATTCATATAAAACAACAATTGTCAACAACATTGTCAAGGTTAGCAAAATCTATAAAACACTGGAATCCAATTAGTGCAAATTTCAAAAATAACACAGCTTCCGTATTGTTCCTTATAGTAACAACCATTTTTTCTCGAACAGTTTATTCACCGCCTTCATGGTGTGTCTAGAAAGAATCATATTTATACTCCAGACATCTTCCAATTTTTCTGTTTGATTGTCGGACTTAGGTTATGTTACCTTCATTTAAAAAGGCAAGAAGAACTACAAAGAACTAATTGTCTAACTTCCAATATTTTCACTTTATTATTATTACAGATTTTTATTTGTTGCCTTTAATCTTCTTGAAAAGCTTGTGAAAATCATAATTAAGGGAAATCAATTTCAATAAAAATAAATAAAATTCTGAAAACTTTAATAATTAATCATATTCAAATAAGAAAATGCACATATAACTGTGAGCAAAATCAAAGGCATATGTGGTTATCTGTTACTGATGAATGCAAGCTAGTTCAAACCCATTATAATTCATGGGCTGCTGGCCTGATTGATTGCAATAATCAAATAAACAACTTGGCTGTATTGTTTAAATACAAAATTAATTAAAATATTCTAATATGGTGATAAAACAGATATAAATGAAAATTGAAATCAAACATGGTACATTAAAAATCTTACAGATTTTGATTCTTTTTCAAATTCTGGCATATCTTTCAAACTTTTCTGCACTTAGGCCAAAAAAAATTAATAAATAGTTTCTCAGGCCAAAAAAATCAAAATTCAATGCGGCAGGCAGGCTTTTTTTTTTAAAGCCATTTGGTCAATAAAATAATATCTACTAATTCTTAATTTTTGTTCTCTGAAATTAGTTACAATACAGTACCGACCAGACCCAACCTGACACTAAGCAGTCCCAGAGCAGTCCCACAGCAGTCCCAGAGCGGTCCCAGCAGTCCCAGAAAGCAGTCCCAGTGGGCGGGGTTTATTAATTTAATGGGCAGAGCTAACTCAGAAATGAGATTTGCAATAAACAATGGAACTATAAAAGGCAGTAGAAATTGATTCTGGGTAGTATGCCAGGACTCCTTACATGTACGCAGTCATTTATGAATAGTACACGCATAGAAACAAAGTGAAATAATATTTATAGAAGGAAGAAGGCTTTCACATGTGCATGTATAAATTAAAATGAACATGAATATTTAATCACAATTATCGGGTATATTAATAATTCAATTTCTTAATTTTCTTTAATTGATACTGTTTCCCATACCGGTATTTATTTTTTATACAGAAAATTTAACGTGAACTAGAAAACTGACCAGTCAGCAAGGGCCCCGCCATGGGGTAGAAATATAAGGGTGCTGCGTATGGAATGATTTAAGAAATATATGACGAATAAGAAACAGCAACTGTATTCTTAAAATTTCAAGATAAATTTCCGAACATCCAAAAACCCGTAAATAATATCCTTGTATTTATTTCACATAAGGCAGTAAAGAACAACTCAACACTGAATGTATATCTAAATAATAGTGAAGCTTTTGTTATATAAAATGCCAGCCTTCAATGAATGCAAATACATATCATGAACTTTGAAGGCTTGACCTTAACTTCAAAACATACAGCAGTTGCAGACAAAGGTTTTCATTTATAATCTATAGTGACAGATAAAGATAAGCCTTCTAAATTTTCTGCAGCAGGCTAGATAATTAATCCCAAGGGATTAATTGTACTTCTCTCTCAGCATTTTCTTCTTAATTTATAATAAGAACTTTTTCAGTATTGATAGAATGAGGTTTTTATCCAACTGCCTTAAAAATTAATAATGTTCTTGAATTTTCATGAAGAAAAAAAAAATAAACAAATAAAAATAAAAAATATATCTTCTTTAATCTATTTCTTCTTTTTAGAAGTCAATGAAATTAGAACTCATCGTGTAGGCTATTTCAACAAAAATAAAGTAAAAACATTTATACTTCAATCCACATTTCATAGTGTTCATAGCATTTCAAATGGACTTAACTTAAAAACAAACGTCATTTGCAACAGAGGTGGTAATTAATCTATGTGACAGATAAAGATAATGCTTTGGATTTTCTTCAGGAGGAAAGCTAATTAATCCCTAGGGGCTCATTCATTGCAGTATTCAGTTTACAACATTTTCAGAAGTTATCTCTCTTTCCCAATTCATTCTTATATAAAGTTAAGGAATCTACCCCACCACCCCAGCTCCAACCAGAGGACATAGAGAAACAGACTTAGCATCAAAATATGTCTTTTTGCCTACTAAACTACCATACCAAATTTGAACTTAATTGGGCTACCATAAAAAAAGTTATTAGGAAAAAACAGAAAATTTGTATCACTAACAGACAGACTTTACAGAGTGATTACTATAGGGCACCCGCAAATCCTTGCGGGGCCCTATATTATTTTCCACCAGTAAAAATTAGTTTTAAATAGATCTTATCGTTATATGGCCAATTTCCATACTATCGGGATATTCAAAAGGAATTTTCTTAAGTATAGGGGCTTTTAGAAAATTCTTTGTAAAATTTTGCCAAGTATTATTTTTCAGTCATGATTATTCTTACTGACATGTCAATTTGATTATTGCTAATTTCTCTATCTTTAAAATACTCATTGCATTTTAAGTATTTTATTTGTAAATGTTAGAATGTACATCTGTAAATCACCAGAATGGATCCCTTAGATTATGTTCAAAATTATTAATACGGAAAGAAATCATACACATTTCATTTGTCAATTTCATTTTTGCATTACATACCGTTAGACTGAAATTAGGGTCATTGTTGACCAGCATGTTCAATGATGTGAAACGCTGATACGTATATCCAAATAACATGCACTGATTTTCTGCCCTGAGGCGATTGAAACCGCGAGTGTTGATACCATTTTATAAACATTAATCGGCCAGGTAAACACAAGCAAAACAAAAAAGAAATAAATCACAATTCCCAGTATTTTCAACTCTTTATTTATAAAATAAATGTACCCTTTTGATAATTTGTTTATAAATTAAAAACTTTCGGTAATTCATTGATCAATTCCCCAATGATTATTCACATTGTTTCACATGTACATTGTTTAAGTTACGAAAGAATGGTAGCATAATTTTATTTCATGTCATTTAATAAATTGTTAGACTTTATTTGGAGGTTGCATGGAATACTTTTTTTAGCGTGGTACTCATAAAACATGTAGCTTTTTAATCAAAAATCTTATATCTATCTGTTATGATTATTTTTAGATAGTGCCAATTAATGCAAATTTTGAGTGCACATAATTTTACATTAAATTAAAAATAGGCCTACATGAAATGTAGATATTTTTTTTCATAAACCTGTAGTTTATCTTTAAGTATAAAAATCTTCTCCTGACTTCCTTATTGAACAACTTTATTTAAAAAAATATTCTAAACTAAATTTGTGTAAATATACAGTCTCTGAAAATATTAATTAACTATTATGATAATCTCTTCTTATCAAAAGATTGTAAGAAATCCTTGCTTTATTAATAGTTTAAACTCCTCTCTGCTGCTAGTAAACAAAACAACTGGCAGTCTGCAAATTCAGAATACACAAGGGGGCGGAGCTATCGTGTCACTCAGAACCTCTTTCACACATGAGTGAACAAAGCAGTCCCAGACAGTCCCTTAGCAGTCCCGGAGCAGTCCCACAGCGGTCCCAGAGCAGTCCCACAGCAGTGCTTTCAGCAGTCCCGGGGACTGCTTTCTGCGACTGCTTGGGTGTCAGGTTGGGTCTGGTCGGTACTGTATGTAATCAACTTTAAATAATATTATTCCAAACATTTATTTAAATATTAATTCAAAAAAATATTGTAAATTTAGAAGAAATGTATTGTTTATCTTAATAAAAACGTCTATCTTTGCATTTATGAAAAGTGGAATATTAAACTCAATTTTCTTTTTCAACTTGGAAAAATAGAAAATTGAGTTATTTCCCTTTTCAATAATGTCAATAAAATTGATCAATGCGCCGTTTTTGAACTGATGTGGCGGTGCCTGAGAAACTGTTGATTAATTTTTTTTGGCCTTAGTACTACATGTGTACTAGAAGGAAATCATATCACAAATTGATTGGTTTAAAGACTGTTACATCAGATGCATCACTTGAATTCTCCAGCAAATGGAATGGGTTGAGAACGGTTTGTCCATCTTTCATTCATTGTTTTGTATGCTGTAGGTAACTTTTCAAAGTCATAAAAAGCAAGGTTATCAAGCAACTCAAACACTCCAGCATTGACTGCCACCTAAAATAAATATCAAATTTATATATTGATTTAAAGTAAAGTTATTATTACTTAATTTTTATTAAATTTTTTTCAAAATACATTTATTCCAATAATTTCTTGTAGAGAGTTTAAATATTGCAAGAGATCGTTTAAAATTAATAACACATTAATTGCTTGCAATGAACAACCCCCTCTTTAAGCTAAAAATATTCAGATCATGAAGAAGTTTGCTAGTAACTAGAATAATAAATGTACCTGTAAACCCCACAATAAACAGTTATGTACAAATAATTGGGTACCTCTCTCAGCCACTGGGAAAATGTCCGCTGCCATTTGATTTTCTTGTCATATCTTAGATACATGTTAAACAAGATCAGGTAAATGTAGCGCTCCAGGGCCTCCAAACTCTGTCTCCGCAGTTGTTGTTTTTCCGTCTCTGACTTGGCTTTACCTATCTGAACAAAATTTGAATCTTTATAATCGTAATCAAAATGCAGTTATTTGAATGTTTAAAAGAAATTTTCAAAAAAAAAAATTCATCCTCTTTAATTACTTTGTTATAAGTATTGGAATAAAATACAAAATTACGTTTGAAAAATACCTTGTTGTAGGTTACAAATATCACTTCTCGAATATGAAAATGCATGGGTGACATGGTCTCAAAACACTCATCTAAAATAAAGTCCACTTCCCTTTTAACTTGTTGACCATTTGGCAGCAACCGTACAAGTTTTTGAACGATCTGAGAATCAAATTATTCAAGATAAATTTAATCACAAAGTCTCTTGTCTTAACTATACAAAGAAAGACAAATCTTTGATATATTAAATCTATCTTTTTCATACCATAAAGTCTCCTTTTGTGTATTGGGCATTTGGACATGACACTCTTTCTTGCTCTCCAAGATTTGCTCCTTTTGGAAAACCCTGATAATAAAAATCTTTTATATGATATGAATCATTCATTGACTTATTATACATAACCCTCCCAGGGTTCAAAGCTTGTCAAAATTTGGTCTTGCCATTTGGGCAACCTTGGTATTGATCTCTGGTTGCCCAATTGAATTTCAGGTAATTTGAACATTCTTAGAATGTCAAAAGCCGACATCCAGTTCAAAATGACTTTTAATCAGAAAAGCTCTCACTTGAGCCTTTGGCTCAGGTGAGATAATAAGAGAGGGAAGACTTCACCAATAAGGAACATTTAAAAATTTGAAAAGGTTACTATTTTGTTTACTTAATGTTTCATTGACAGAACTTTCCTGGATATAAGCATACATGTATATAGCTTTACCCTCAAATGACACATGATCAGACCAGTGACAGCCAGAGCCAGGGTGGTGCGACTTTTCCCAGTCCGACAGTAGTACACTATAGCTGTCTTGTTGCATTCCTGGTCGTCACTGAAGCCATTTTTATGTATCACAGTCATTAAATCATCAAAGTCCTGAAATATATTAACATGTAGATACTATTGATAACATTTACATTTAGTGAATCTTCGTTAGTGCCTAAGACTACCTTTTAGCTTAGTTAAAATGCTTTCTCTAAGTCTATAAATATCTAGAATTGACCTCTTCAAAAGGGTATATTTCAGTGATGGCAATTTGTAACAGGTTAACTAATTACAGTGGACCCTCATTTATCCGGACAGTTTGGTTCCCAGTCAATTTGTCCGGATATGTGAAGCATCCGGATATCTGAATCACCAATTAAACAAGACAAAATAACATTTAAAAATTTTGTTCCGATGAAAAATCGTCCGGATACTGAAGCATCCGGATATCTGAAGATCCACTGTACATGTAGAACGATGGCCATCTGTTGGAAAATCTTTAATCAGTTCATCCAAACAAGAGGCCCATGGGCCACATCGCTCACCTGAGCACTGTGGCTAGGAAAAAGTAGAAACTGGTTTATTATTGAAAAGTTTAAGGACGCGATTGCACGGCGTCACGTGATCACGTCATATCGTGAGTAAAAAAAGAATGTTTGCTGTAACTATTTCCGGAATAAGGAGCGAGCGTCATATGTTTGCGCTTGACAAAAGGGGTTTATTTTTCTAAAGTAGAGAAAGTATAAGATGTTAAAGATTGTTACGAGTGTTGGTAAGCGTTGATCATATTTTTTATCTACGTGCATGTTTTACGATTTGACACGTCTATCTATTGTTTATCTCTGAACATTGAAATCTATTTCATTAAAAATAAATTTAATTTATATCTTGAGGTTTATATCTTCATTTTAAAATTAGAATTTTATTTAAGATTGTTGTTCATCATAGGATCTACATCTATGTATAGATAATTTCCCCAATAAGAGATTCAGACGGCGTGATTTACTAGATACATGTATAAATATTGATGAACGAAGGTGATTTTGATAAACGTATTACGGCGAAGACCACTTATGCCTAGAAGATTTTTAAAAAAATATCGCAGAGGATTTTGTTTTCTCCTATAAGATCTTTAGCATTTTCAGTAGTAACATCGACCACGTAAACATTCAATCATCGTCGCACATATATTGTAAACGGTTGTTGTAAAATGTTTTATGCGTCATATTGAAACACAGCACACTTCTGAAAGAATACCAGGGAAGATATGAACATAAATATATAAAAGAAACATGTGAACTCATCATTCTTATGGGAATACATTTGAGAACTGTTTGTTTTTTTTATCACATGGACATGAACATAGATGTTTCACTCCAGCATATATCATAAAGCGACGGAAAGTTATTTCAATCAATGATTATTTTTTAATCAAAACAGTAGATCTATAGTTTTGACGCCAATTGTATCATTATGACGTCACAATGGAGATAGCGCTCATCCATGTACAGCTAGCCCCCCCCCCCCCCCCCCCCCCCCCCCCCCCCACCCCCCCCCCCCACCCCCCCCCGATTCCAGGTCACTAAGAAGAAACTTCGCTGAGTGTTCAAAGCATGAAGAATAAGGCCTTTGAGGACTGTGCACTGGTTTATAATATATTATTTATTTATATTGATTATAGTAACGGAACAAAATGAATGTTTTGGAGATGAAAAACTGAGTTTGAAAAAAAAAAAGTTATTTTCGTGACCACTGTCGGTGATAAGTAAATCATTGTGCTTCACATAGAAAATGAGCATCAGCTGCCAGATTTTCAGAGAAAAAGTATTTATTTATCTATATATATGTCCTTTAATTATTGTCTTTAAACAGATTATGCATATTTAAGGTCCAACAACAAACCATCATATGAAAATCTGTGAAATCTTTTAATATTCTAGGAGGGGGGGGGGGGGGTACTGAAATGCGTGTACCTTCAAAATTAATCTGATTACCTTACTTCATATTTTAACCCTAAGTCACTTACAATGACTAGTACAGCATACATTAGTTTTGGGAAAATTCATTGGGTAATTTTTTGTCTAGACGTTAAAAACTGCTATTGAGGTGAAAATATTACTGCAAATTTACAATTAATACTTCCCCCAAAAACAATGGCATTACTACATTTATCAATAGTTTCCGAAACAATTTTTATTTTCAATAAAAATAAAGCATATTATTAAATATCTGCAAGAAAATATTTAATTTGCATCAATTTTGTTGCATGTATGGCATTATAAAACATTCACCTCATAAATATCAAAAGATTAAAAAATGGTGGTTACCATGGCAACCATAACTTCCTTATAAGCCTGATGACCATACTTGATACTTTCATATAATGGTATTATTGACATTAGCAACGTTATTTGTAAAAATGAGAAAAATTCATTGGGCAGAATTTTTTCACGGACCCGTGCAATCCTTTCCTTAAATCTTAAAGTAGTCCCATGACCAATCATGGCTTTGCTATTCTTGAGAAGAAGATTTTTAAAGAATTTTCTTATATAGTTCTATGTAAAACTTAAGTCGTCCACTGTGGCCCCGCCCTACCCCCAGGGGTCATGATTTGAACAAACTTAAATCTACACTACGTGAGTATACTTCCATATAAATATGATCAATTATGACTTTACTATTCTTGAGAAGAAGATTTTAAAATAATTTTCCTATATATTTCTATGTAAAACTTTGTTTGGCCATTTTGGCCCAGCCCTACCCCCAGGGGTCATGATTTGAACAAACCTGAATCTACACTACCTGAAGATGCTTCCATATAAATATGATCAATTATGGCTTTGCAATTTTTGAGAAGAAGATTTTTTTTTTAAAATTCCTATATATTTCTAAGTAAAACTTTGGTCAGCCATTGTGGCCCCGCCCTACCCCTGGGAGTCATGATTTGGACAAACTGGAATCTACACTACCTGAGGATGCTTCCATATAAGTTTCATCTTTCCTGGCACAGTGGTTCTTGAGATTAAGATTTTTAAAGAATTTTCCTATATATTTCTATGTAAAACTTTGGTCAGCCATTGTGGCCCTGCCCTACCCCTGGGGGTCATGATTTGAACAAACTTGAATCTACACTACCTGAGGATGCTTTCATATAAGTTTCATCTTTCCTGGCACAGTGGTTCTTGAGAAGAAGATTTTTAAAACATGCCACCAAATTTTTATTAATTCCCAATTATCTCCCCTTGAATGAGGGTGTGGCCCTTCATTTGAACAAACTTGAATTCCCTTCACCCAAGGATGCTTTGTGGCAAGTTTGGTTGAAAGTGGCTTAGCGGTACTTGAGAAGAAGTCGAAAATGTGAAAAGTTTACAGACAGACAGACAGCTAGACAGACGGACGGACAGACAGACTACAGACAAAATGTGATCAGAAAAGCTCACTTGAGCCTTCGGCTCAGGTGAGCTAAAAAACAATAAAATATGCTTATCTTTAAAATTCAAACTTTGTTAGTAAAATAAAATTCACATATTTATTTATCTATTTAACTTTTACCACAGCTCTTATACATACTAACTATGCAACGCATCAGCTAGTTCACAGAATGTTAATTTCCTGGCCATTTTATGACCTCTGCCTACAGTTAGCGTCACTGACCTGTTCTATTGGTGTGGTATCATATTGTAGAGGCACTCTAAAGTACTGCATGTCCAGGGTCTGCAGTTTCTGATTTTCTGCAAGCTCGGACGACGTCAGCACACTGTTAAACTCCCGCTCGACAGGCTCGTCAGATAACTCGTTGTATATCTGTCATCAATAATTGTAACTAAATGTCTCAAGCTCAGGGTGACACAAATGTCCCCCCCCCCTTCAATTTTTCAGATGTGTTGTAAAGCTGATGCCGATGGTATAGCATAAGCACATCTCAACTTCAATGGTTGAGCTAAAAATGGGCACCTGTCCATGCATTTTAAGCCTCTTGTAATTAGACGACTGATTCTATAAGCAAGAACAGGAGACCTTGGGGTTAGGGAATTTTACCCAATATATTGATGTAATCCCTCCGTTATTTTGATATTCCTCCAAAAATTCCCATTAGGAGAAGGAGCTGCAGATTCCCCTTTACCATATAAACATGATAAATGTCCTCTTCTATTTCAATTCTAAGGAACAACCCTGTTAGATGTATCATCCATGCATGTTTAATCCAGACAGGGCAAATAGATAATTTAGAATCAATCTGTTCCAAAATCTTTAACCTAGTCAACTATCTAGAAAATGTAGGTCAGATCCAGTATCTGAAGAATGCCTGGTTGTGTCAATCCCTAGATGTATCCCCCATGCAAGTTTGGCTTATTGTTACTTAGAAATGAGACCTGCCCTCAAAACATTACCCTGGCCATTCTTTAGACAAAATTGCAGCATCTGAATTAAACCTTGAATGGTACAATGAAACATACAAGAAGCATATTCCATGCATCTCTGATAAATGTAGGGCATAAAAGTATATGAAAAGAAATCTGCTCCAAAAACTTTAACTCAGGACACCAACACCAAGAGTATCACATAAGCTCCCCCCAATCTCGTAAAGGTGAGCTAAAAATGCTGTACAAAATGTGATCAGTTAGTTTACTTGAGCTTTCACTTCACATGAGCAAATAACAGATATTTATCCCAGTCAAATGTGTCAATAAACTACATTATCAAATTAAGCTGTTTACTTGATAATGTTGTCAATGTAAGTAAACACTGTACCTTGATTTTGTTGGTTTTGATTATCTTTGTCAAGGTTTCTTCTTTATCCTGAAAATATAAAGATCATTATATTTCCACAATTCTTTTAAAGATGCATCATATTTTAAATTTGTAAGAATATTAATAAATTTTGGTGATGTAGCATATCATTTTACTAAGTATATTCAAACTTATAACAATTCTTGCAACTCTGATCTCAAAAAACAGAGTGGAGCTGGGAAGGGGGGATTTATAGTTATACCCTTATTCCCAGCTACTTGATTGCCTTTTCCAAAATATATACCCTTCATTTTGTTTAAAAATATCAATGACAGATTTCCACTACCTGTCCTTATAATGGCCCTCAAGTTTTTGTTCTGGACACGTTTGATATTGTTAAAACTGCCCCCAAAATTTTAACCTTTTAACCAGGGACGCCGACCATGTGGGTTTCACATTAGCTCTCTCCAACCTCGTGAGATGAGCTAAAAACATACACAGAATTTTTACTTCACTTTAATTTCAAAACCAGCAACTTTCAATCAAGAGTGCTTTAACAATGAGTGTAGTAAAAAATCATAAACAAGATTTTTACTTCATTTTAATTTCAAAACCAGTAACTTTCAATCAACAGTGCTTTAACAATGAGTGTAGAAATGAAGATCTATTTCCTGCTTTTCTTTCTCTTTTCTCTTGCATTTCCTATATTTGTGTAAAGAAAGGCAGAATCCGTACAAGCAGACATGTCTTCAGCTTACAAATCGGACACTTTTAGTGATGCATCTGGTCAACTACTTTCTGGTATCATAACTAACCTAATAGGGATACAGCACTCTAATTATAATACTTTTGACTTTATTAAACATTGTCAAATGGATCACTCCTTAGTTTATCCACATGAAATGAAATCAGCAAATCTTGCCGAATGCTTCTCTAGAAATGTCCGAGTTCCGTGGTTGAGGAAGCTGTCTTTGATTGCATTATAAAGTTCTAGCATAGAACAACCTTCAGAAACCCCTACTATGCGCCAAGGAAGTATTACAACATTCATTCCCTTAAGAGTTAGCACTGAAATAATGTATGATTGATTGAATGACTTTTTGTTGTTTTACATCCTTTCTAGAATTTTTCACTTATACAGACATCACCATATCCACTGAAAGGCTTCAAATTTAAACTCTACTCGGCATGCGGGGCCATTGAGCAGAGAGGGTTCTTTATCATGCCCATGCCTACCATGACACAGGGCCATAGTTTTTAAGGTCTCATCTGAAGGACCAATAACCTTCACTTGAAACTACTGAACACTTTGCAAAGGAACTGTTGCTACCCTTTTTTATCAACTTACGTAAGTTGCAGCTGTGATTCAAACACACGACCTTCCGATCACTTAGAGAACACTCTTCTAACTTAGCTAATGTGACAGAAAGGATGTATGAGCACTTGGCGCAGGAACTTTTGCTACCTTTTTTTTTTATTGATTTACGTCAGTCGGAGATGTGATTCAAACACATGTATCAGTTCTCAGGCACTTCTGATCAACATGTCTATTTAAATGAATTTATAGCGAAGCCTAAATGGATGATTGGTTCTCCTTTGTATACTATATATAGGTCTTACCTCTAGTTCAGGCCTGGATGGATGATTGGTTTGTCTTTGTACACTACTGTATACAGGGTTATTTTCGCCCTGTGTTATTTTCGCCCCTTTACACAAGCAAAAAATTTTGCCCAGTTTTAAATTCGCCCAGTCATAGTTTTGTTTGAAAATTTTTACTGTATTCTTTGAATTCAGCCCGTTTTAAATTCGCCAAAATCAGGGAAGGGCGAAAGGGGCGAAAATAAAACGGGGGTGAAAAATTCCATGTATACAGTATATATAGGTCTTACCTCTAGTTCAGGCCTGGATGGATGATTGGTTTGTCTTTGTACACTATATATAGATTTACCTCTAGTTCCTACACTGTGAGGCCTGGATGGATGATTGGTTTGTCTTTGTACACTATATATAGATCTTACCTCTAGTTCAGGCCTGGATGGATGATTGGTTTGTCTTTGTACACTATATATAGGTCTTACCTCTAGTTCAGGCCTGGATGGATGATTGGTTTGTCTTTGTACACTATATATAGGTCTTACCTCTAGTTCAGGCTTAGATGGATGACTGGTTTGTCTTTGTACACTATATATATGTACCTGGATGGATGATTGGTTTGTATTTGTACACTGTATATATAGGTCTTACCTCTAGTTCAGCCCTGGATGGATGATTGGTTTGTCTTTGTATACTATATATAGATCTTACCTCTAGTTCAGACCTGGATGGATGATTGGTTTGTATTTGTACACTGTATATAGATCTTACCTCTAGTTCAGACCTGGATGGATGATTGGTTTGTCTTTGTACACTATATATAGATCTTACCTCTAGTTCAGACCTGGATGGATGATTGGTTTGTCTTTGTACACTGAATATAAGTCTTACCTCTAGTTCAGGCCTGGATGGATGATTGGTTTGTCTTTGTACACTATATATAGATCTTACCTCTAGTTCAGACCTGGATGGATGATTGGTTTGTCTTTGTACACTGAATATAAGTCTTACCTCTAGTTCAGGCCTGGATGGATGATTGGTTTGTCTTTGTACACTATATATAGGTCTTACCTCTAGTTCCTCTGCTGTGAGGCCTGGAAGGATGATTGGTTTGTCTTTGTACACTATATATAGGTCTTACCTCTAGTTCCTCGGCTGTGAGGCCTGGATGGATGATTGGTTCATCTTTGTACACTATATATAGATCGTACCTCTAGTTCTTCTGCTGTGAGGCCTGGATGGATGATTGGTTCGTCTAACATTGTGGCATCCCTCACGCTGTATGTCTGGCCATCACATTCTACCGCCACATCGTTCCTTAAGTTCACCAGTACCACAAGTTTATGTCCTTGTTTCTTGCTCAGCAAGTAGTTGGATATTTTTGTCACGCCCTATCAAACCAAATACTAGTATGAGAGAGAATTCTTTCATTTTTGTTCTTAAAATTTATATTCTTGATGTTATGTTATAATATTTATACCTCTTCTTCTAATTCTGAAAGACTTGCATTTTACACACAAGAACTCAATAACATTATAATAACTTAATTTTTATTCCCTTTTTTCAAAGAAATGCAACAAAAGTTATTTGATCCTGTTTCATCTTAGATTATGAGAATATTGCATGCTTACAACTCATTTATTGAAAACATGTCCATCGACAGGATTAGATTTGCTAGCATACTCATTTTTAAGAAATTTGAAATTGCTTAATGAAAATAAAAATCATGATAAAAGACCATATATCAAATAACAAGCCTCCCCCCAAATCTCACCCATTGATTCACATAATTTCGACAAGTCTCTCCTTTAAAAGCTTTAGTTTAGATCAGGTTTCAAAAGAACTATATGCCAATGTATATTTAAGTTCAATTAAAGGTTAATAGTAAATGAACCTTGACTTTGTACATGATGGAGATAATTTCATTGTGACATACATTTATGCTAATTTACTTGCAATAGCCTAATTTCTAGTATACTATAACATATAAATTATATATATTTCATAATATAACTTCTGTAATGTAACTTTTTTCTTCTTTTCAAATTATCTTATCCAAAAATACTTTCCAAATGATTAAACATTTACATCTCTTGCAGGCTGAGCCATTCCATACACTGAGATTCCTTTGAGATTGAGCTTTCTAAAGTTAGGCACTCTGACATCCATTTGTGTGCTCATCACGTCCAGCCCTATGTATACATCTGCCACCTGATTGGATAAACATTTTGTGTCAATTTTAATCCATTTTATACAGTATACATGAACATGCTTTAAGTTTTCTGATCAAATGCAAGTTAATGTTGAAATTCTGGAAGGAACTGTAATTGAGCAATAAAACATATTGTTAATTTTTCAAAGAAAATACAAAACTTAAATGTGCAAAACAATGTGAAGGTAATATTATATACATTTACTGCTTGATAGTGAGGGAGACAGGAAGATTTCATCGCCCATGAAAAATCAGATTCCCTGAGGCAATGCAACACCAAAAACTTTAATCTGTTTACTCATCTGGAAATTGGTAGTTTGCATCCTTAGATTTGTCAAGCAAGTTTGGTGCAGGTAGGGCAATACATGTAGTTAAAATGATCCTGCTCCAAAAAAACTTTAACCTGGTCACTCATTTGGAAAATGTAGGTCAGATCCAGCATCCAATGCAAGTCTAGTAGTGTGTATCCTTAGATGTTTCATCCATGCAAGTTTGATCAATATAGGGCTTATAGCTACTTACATTAGAAATGACCTGTTCCAAAAACTTAAACCAACTTCAAACATTACCATGGACAATCTTTAGCTTAAATTCAGCTTCTGAAACTTTGACATGTACAATGAAACATGCCAGAAGCATTTTTCATGCACCTCTGATTAATATATGGCACAGAAGTAACTGAATAAAAATCTGCTCAAAAACTTTGACCTGGGATGTTGATTACATTAAATAAACTCCCCACAACCTTGTTAAGGTGAGCTGAAGACATGAGTAGTTTACAACAGCTACGAAAAACCTAACTTGAGCCTGAGTGAAAAAAAAGCAAAGCCTTCAAAGTATGGCACCAAAATTTCTGATATTACCAAGTGCATTTTTTATCAGTTTGTTATTGAATACAATACAGAATCTTAATTAACACAATACTCTGAAAAATTACAAAAACATCCATCCTCAGTAAAGAACAGATCTGCATTAAATCTATCAGAAATTAAGTATCCTGATTGATTATCTGTCTTCAGGCTCTAACTTCTAAGTGCATGTGATATGAATTTCTGTCTCTTGAGAAGTTCAATGCTTTTAAGAGCACTCTGAAAGATTCAAAGGAGGCATATATACACTTCTAAAAGTAGTAAATAAATAAAATTAATGGATTTAATACATTTAGGTTGAATCATTTTAACAACACTTCATTACCATGGTATTATTTCAAGCAAGTTTAGAATATTAGCCTAGCATATATACATAGAGAATTCATGAATATATAAAGCCAAAAATGAACCAACTTAATCGTTTGCTATTGAATATAGGAAATGATTTTTTACAAAAATGTAAATTTAAAAAAAATAAGGCAGTTACTGTAAAATTAGGGTTATTTTTACGATATTTCAAATACTGGAGGAAAAAAAAACTTGTTCCAATATGTATTTAGACCTTATAAATGATACAGCTCAGACTTATGCTCTCTCTAATGTAAATGTATCTTATTTATTTACTGAATTGCTTAGTTTGACTTCATCATGCACTCAAGATGTTGACATTGTAAGTTCTGTCAGATCCACTCCTGCACAATACAATCACATTCATGACTGCATGCAGAAATCAGAATTCCTTGAAAATGTCACTATACTTAAGTCTTACCAATTTCTTCAAATAATAGCTAATCATCAATTTTGTCATTTTGTCATGCTGATTAATTCACATGACTTATCCCAGACAAAAGGACTTACTAGGAACTGTCTCTCTGTCAGCACCAGATTCAGTGGGGCGTGAGAATTAGGGTGATGAACATTCTCCAATAGTCGGATCATCTCAGGATGTTGTCGCTTCCATTTTGAATACGATTTGAGAAATCGCTGTGAAAACTGTCAAATCAAAGGAAAATTTTGTCAGGTAGTATTTACAGTGCTATTACTCAGACTAATTAGTAATTTGATTTGCAACACTAATGAAATTTGATAATAATTCTTACAACTGTTGTCTGTCATTAATGCTTAAATGAGTTACCGGTACTTGAACTTACAACAGAATAAATCATACATTATTTGGATATCTTAATGCAGGCAATATTCAGTATTTCATTTAGTTTATGTAAAACATGAGTAAAACAATAAAATACCTATAATCAACCCATTTGTCCTCCCTTTTCAATTTGAGCATTTCTAAACTGGACAAGGACTAAATTTTAAGAGGACCAAGGACTACAATGCTCACCTGAGTCTCTAATGACCCTGCTGTTTTTCATCAGTCCATTTTTTGCCCTATGTAAATTTCTGATTACATATTGTGGTCAAAACCTTACCCTGTGGGTCATGATTTGTACAAACTTGAAACTACACTACAGGTAATAAAACTTTGATCATGTTTATGTGCCTTGCTGGCTGTGTTTTGGTACTATATATTAAATGCATATAAATTGTTAGACAATTAAGATCTTAAAAGATTGTGTTGAATCAATACCACCACCAGTCATTTTTAAAAAAAATAGCAACTTTACATAACCTACTAAGAATCTCAGTTGCACAAATTAACTCATGTCAGTGACTGTAAAAATCTTAGTTCCCATAACAAAGCTAATCTAATTCTGCAACTAATTTAACTTAGTCTAGCTATCGATTGGCATGAAACAGCAAAAATAACCATTGTTCAAAGGATTCACGTATTAAATTCATTATACTCGCAGAACTGTAATTTTCTTGGAAAGAAAGATCATGTGGTTAAATTTCCCCTGCAAACATTTTTAAACTGTAGTCCATGTAATTAAATTGTCATTTGAGATTCTAAAAACAATTTTTCAAAGACTTCTACATTTCTCCAGATTTTAATATCTTCATTCTTTTTTCATTTAACCAACTGAAAATTTGCTTCACTTATAAATGCTTTACACATCATGCAAATGAACCAAATTTTTACTTTGAATTCAATTTTGGATGACCACTATCGAGTTTATCCTCAGGGGTAGGCATAAAAAGACTGAAGCTCATTACTCCCCCTTTTTTCTTAATGTTACAAAAATCCAATATTATAATTTAAAAAGCAATATAAAAAGAGACTGTGGGAAAAATAACCTGTTCTGTTAGGTAACTGTTGAAACAAATGAGGAATAAGTAGCGTTGTAGAAAATGGCAGCATCTTTTGTAGAGCATCTCTTGAGCATTCTTTCCCTGCAAAAAAAAAAAAAGAACAATATGCTTGATTGCTGACAGATATAGATGTAAATATTTCATTAACTGTAAAAGGAAATGTCAGTTATCAAGCCAGTCATCTCTAGGAGTGGGAACTTTGATCAGCTCATCAGTGAGAGAGTGAATGAGATCTCTCTGAAGGGGCTTCCGTCATGATACTTCTCACGATAAAGGAAAATATACTAGGAACTTTAAGTACAGCTGAACTTTTGTAATTCCTGAACACTGATACCTCAGATACCATGGCCTTATTGTAAAAGTGATTTGGAAGTTCTAACCCTTATTCTTTAAGTATTTTACTTTGTATACCTTGAAACCTCAGACACTGTAAACCAACTTTTATTTGCATGCGAGAAATATCTGCAAGTTTTGCAACCTTCTTTAACTCACAAATATTATTTGCCACAAACCGTATATTTTGCAATGTATTTGAATGTGTAGAATATTTGGTCATGCAGTCATGAAAATTCTAGTTGCAGATTGATTTCAAACTGAAGAATCCCTAATATTAAGGTGATGTGAATAATAGTTAGTTCACAGTATCCTGAAGTTTTTTCTCTATCCATGAAATTTCAGTTCAAGATAACGAAGTTTGACTGTATGAATCTGCAGTACATTTTCATTCTGTTTCATATTAACTATAACTGAAATAAACATTATTATGATAAGCTATTCACTTCTGCTGCAGGATTTACATTTGATATGCTATTTCTTGAAAAGCACAACCAGGTAAAATTAATTGTGTAGCAAATACATATTTGTTGTCATTTTCATTCAAGGCCTCATTGACTGATAATTTGAGTTTTTAATATCTCTTTTCTCATCAACATACAGATCCGATTCAAAAATCTATAGGAAATTATAAAATTGATACTCCGGTAATAATTGAGTTTTCCTGGACTGATATTTGAAATTAATAAGAAAAGAAATAGATAATGACCTTTTGATCTTTAGCATTAACGGTATATACAGGAAGACAGTGTCAGTGTTCTCATTGCTCTAGTAATAACACCTAATGAGAAAATTCATAATTGATCATCACGGACTGGGTATGTATACATTTCATGTGTTTGTTGCTATGCAATTAACAATGCATTCATCATAAATGAGAAAAGTCTTAAAGTTACACTGGAAACCTTAGACAATAAGATACCTTTTACAGCTCAGAGGTGTATTATAATAGCTCTTAAACACAAAAATCACTGACTTAGAGCATAAAAAATACACTCTTGCCTTGGCATCCAAAGGATGGTCACTAGAGGATAATGGTGATGTAATATATTTTGCCCTTAATTACTAAGAGAATTTAAAGCATTAAATTATTTAGAAACACTAGCTGCTTCTTTTAAAGTCTTCCTATAGGTTACTACACACTGTTCACTTGAACAAAACAAATGAAATATAATCTGGTAAGAAGAAGAAATGCAGTCCTAGTCATCTATATTGTCAAAATTCTGACCAATGCCATGGAGAAGCAGACTTTAAGAAATTCTAACCAATGGAGAATCAGACTTTAAGAATTTTTTAATGACAAATCATCTTTAGATTTACAGGCATCTCAGGATGCACACAAAATAAAATAATTGTCCTGCTAGCGAAGATGGGTAATTAAAGACTCAAATGATTACAGACGATTGAATTTAAAAATCTATAGTTGTTGCATTAATATATGTACCATTTACTTCCATTAGGTTTAGAATCTGGAAGGGCTCTGAATCACAAGGAATTTAGCTATCTTATTTAACACCTCCCTGTGTTCAATCTCTTTCACTCTAAGGATTCTGTTATTTTTATTCCCATTTTTAATACTATCTTCCATATTCTTTGCATTGTGTAATCTGACAGTCTGTCTATTTCAGCACAAAATTTGTCTCCCAATGCATGTCAGACTAGGCTATTTTAACTGTATGATACAGAACAGATGGACTGCAATAACTCCTCATTCATTCAGAATACTCTTGGTTATAGATACAGCATTTCAAGCATCAGTAGCAATGTCTATGAAATGATGCATCATTCAAGTAATGTGTTTCACTTTGGGTTTATGGTTACTTATAGGAATTGGAAGCCTGCTTCTTTACCCTTTGTGTGCTGACTTGTTGTAAGTGAGTGCAACCTTGTATAAATCAGTATATTAAGTATGGTCATGTTTAAGTACTGAAGCACTGACACTTTGGTTGATCCTGAAAGGTCACCATGTTGCTAGACATGCAGGTGAAATTAATTATAAAGAAAAAGCAAGGGGAGGATGATTAAATATAAGTAAAGTCAATGCCCTTAACAACTGTTACTTATGGTTCAACATGGAAAATCACAATCTGATTAATGAGGAACTTGGGGAATTCTTAGAGAGGCTGAAATCATGATAATATTCAATCAAACCTCATGACCTCAAACTGGATAAAACCTATATTGTATACATGGTTATTTTCGCTCCGTGTTATTTTTGCCTTTTCACACTTGCAAACAATTTTGCCCCATTTTAAATTCGCCCAACTGAAAGTAGGCCGAAAGGGGCAAAAATAAAACGGGGGCAAAAATTTCCCTGTATACAGCATTTTATTAACCTTTGAAATATCCTATTATTTGAGATAAAGAGGATTTTTATTTTACAATGTTCAATGCGACACCTTGTCTATTCCAACACAAAACCCATCTTCCAGTGCACGTTGGATAAGACAGGTTTCACTGTATTTAATTTTTTTATGTTCACTTGTTAACTTATTCTGTTTATTATCAGGCACAATTACATTTAAATATGTTTCATAAATTCCAAAGTAACAAATCTTTAACTAATTTTGCAATAAACTAAATTCTAATTAAATCTCATTCACTTTCATAAAGAGTGTGGCATTCTATTGCATCCCATCTTAATTCCTGATGCTATTGATTTTTTAAGATGTTGACATGAGTTTTTTTCCTGGATGGAAACTCAGTGTATATTATGTATGTTTCAGCATCTTAATTAAGACTTTATTGCTGTAAAATCAGTTGATACAAATTTAAAACCAATGGTAAAGAAAAAGTGTCTTGGGAAAAGATTTAATGGCAATTTTCTTCACTTTAAAAGCTCTTAAAGTAATAGATCAACTCAGTAACGCATTCAATGACTTGAACAACTTTCATCTGTTGTATTAAACAACCATGCAAAGAGAAGCTTAAGTAAGATGGGATATTCCAACACTTATTCTTATATTTTACTGTCAACACTTAGCAATACTCAATTTCATCATGACCAAATAAGACACATTATCAGTACAAAACATTGACTCTGAAATTGTGGTAATAGTACCAATCTAGATTTAAAGTTTTATTATCCAAAAACAACAAAGAAGTTATCAAGTTTCATCTTTATTAATCTAACTTTAAATCTTGCCTATAGGGCTCATGCAGCTATGTAATTTACCACAAAGTGATCTAAGTATTTATCAGCAGCATCAAAAAAGAAGACTCAAGTTACGACTTTAAAATAAGATAGAACTTACTCTGTGGAATTGGATGAGCAACAGGCTGAGAGCAAGTAAAAACTTGCTTATATGAAACATGCTCACTAGCACCTGATACATGAAGGCTGAGGGCAAGGAAATCTTGCCTATATGAGCTATGTCCACTAATGTGAGACATGCCCACTAGCACCTGATTCATGAAGGTTGAAGGCAAAGTAGGTTTTATCTTGCATTTCTTAAGAAATCCTTAGATCTTACATCTTAAAGAACATATGAGCACTGGATTTTTAATGATTAAAGCTCAAACTTTTTCAGTTTCAAATATTTCAACAACAAAAGAATTATTATAAAATAATCTTTTAAATATATATGTTAACCTTAAAAGAATAATATTCAAATGTTCTTTATGTCATCTGTGCTTATCAATTACAATCAAGCAAAATTTCATTTCATAACTGAATGCATCCAAAGACTGAGTACCATATAATATCAGATCCACTGACCTTAAATCAAATATGCATTAATATACCAAATACCGATAAAGCTGACATTCTTATCAATTCTAAACTTTACAGGAAAAACCCATCAGGTCCATTAATTCTAAGAAATGATATAAATTATTCACAACCATAAATCTGTTAGTGCTTTGTCTCAGTACTCTACCAATTCCATTACCAGATTTATAGTTCCTCATGGATCATTGTGATTAATTACAATGCCTACATCAAAACAACTATTTCTTTAGAAAAAAGCCACGCAATACATTTTGGTCAGAGAACTATTATTTTTGAAAATCAAATAGGGATAAAAATATTAAATGAAATGAAAAATCCACATTCAGATTTTTGTAAACTTACTTCAATTTCTTGATCAAATGTTGTTCCTTCTAATAGATGTTTTGCTGCTGAAATTTCACTGTGTAAATTGTACAACTCCCCACACATATCTATCACAGCATCTATCTGTCAAGAAAAAAATTAGATATTTATTCACAGTAGATGTTAACTAAAGGTATTACATTTCTTCTTTAAAATAATTTAAACTAAAATTTTGATGAAATGGCACCCACATTTCGCTCACTATTGACCTCTTTAATAACTATTAATATTATTTTTATCATTTATTCCCAGCTCTCTGATTGGCTCAAACTTGATCACATGATTTAGTATATAACAGCATAAAGACTTGAGTTACTATTTATAGAATCTGAAATGCATATCGACTTGAAGTGTCTTAAAATGGAGGTAATTTCCGTGAAACAAAAAAGTACTGTATTCAATCAAAGCTAATACAGTGTATGATTTAATGTTTCTACATGTTCTAGAAAAAAAAAATTATTTCAACTTTTACTAACTTTTTTTCAATGTTCTGTATTTGATGAGACAAAAGAAGACATTGGATTAGGATAACTTCATATTAATTAAAACATATTCGATATGTGTGTCAAATATTGATACAAAACTTAATCAAATAAATGAAGTATTCTGAATAAGTAAATCGTCTAAATCACTCCATCAATATAAAGGAAACGCATTTACATTAAACGGTGTAATTTTTTTTTATCTCTAGTCTCTAATTGTTAAAGGGAGAAAAATTATTTTCATAATTTGTTTGGTCAATCTATGTAAAAAATAATATAACAAATGTAGCCCTTTAATTCGGTCAATCTATAGATATATCGACTTCACAGAAAAGCAAATCGACCTCGCACTTCGTGCTCGGTCGATATGCTTTTCTGTGAAGTCGATATATCTATGGATTGACCTCATCAAAGGGCTATATTTATATAATATCTATAAAATAAATAGGTCTCACTGTTCTGAATTGAATGAACCCATACTTTGTTTTGAAATTTCTCCGTAAACTTCCAATGTTGATTACATATACTTTACATGAAATGACTTATGTGAAGTGTATTTGTTTTTACTATATTTTTTAAATACTATTAAAATTTTTTAAGCTGTACCCTGTTCTCTTGAAATTTCTACTATTGACATTTTACTTATATTACTATTTTACCCATTTTATTTCAAGCTTTGACTTGTATTGGTGTTTGATTTATTTACCTGTGGTGTTTATTTCATGCTTTGATGGTTTTAATCTGATGTTTAATTTTCTTTTATCCATTTTATTTCATACTTTGACTGTGTTTACCAAGTGTTTGATTTTTTACCTGTTTTATTTCATGTTTTAACTGTGTTTACCTGTTGTTTGATTTTTTTTATCTCATGTTTTGACTGTGTTTTCCTGGCATTTGATTTTTTACCTGTTTTATTTCATGTTTTGATTGTGTTTTCCTGTTGTTTGATTTTTTACATGTTTTGACTGTGTTTACCAGGTGTTTGATATTTTACCCATTTTATTTCATGTTTTGAGTGTGTTTTCCTGGTGTTTGATTTTTCACCTGTTTTATTTCATGGTTTGACTGTGTTTACCTGGTGTTTGATTTTTTATCTCATGTTTTGACTGTATTTTCCTGGCATTTGATTTTTTACCTGTTTTATTTCATGTTTTGACTGTGTTTTCCTGGTGTTTGATTTTTTATCTCAAGTGCTTTCCTGGCATTTGATTTTTTACCTGTTTTATTTCATGTTTTGACTGTGTTTTCCTGGTGTTTGATTTTTTACCTGTTTTATTTCATGTTTTGACTGTGTTTTCCTGGTGTTTGATTTTTTACCTGTTTTATTTCATGTTTTGACTGTGTTTACCTGGTGCTTGATTTTTTACCTGTTTTATTTCATGTTTTGACTGTGTTTACCTGGTGTTTGATTTTTTGCCCATCTGGTATAAGTGAAACAAGTCTTTGTACAGCACCACAGTCTATTTCCTCTCCACTACTTTTATGGGTTTTACTGAAAACAATCATTAACAAGAGCTACAAACATAACTATATTGCAATTATTCTGAATTATTCACAATGAACTATTACTATAGCATGTCTTGAAAAATAAATTTGTTTAATATTGAAGGCATGATCTAATTCATCTCTTAGCAAATACAGAGGATGATATGCTCCATGTCTTTGTTTACAGAAAATCGCTGTTATGAGGAAGTCGGCTCAATGAAACCCAATTAATTTTCCTCAGGGGAGAAAAAAAATCTCCATCATAATATGTTAACTGAATCAACAACTAAATTGATTGCTATGTACCAACTGTTCACATTAACAAAAGAAGCTCGATATTTCTCTGCACCTTAGCACTATACATGAATATCTTCAGTCTTCAAATGCAAATTCTTTACAATGAGATATCATCACATTTTATCTGAAATATTCATCAATGCATGTAGTTCTGCACAAACCAAGAAATTATGTAACTTGTAATGTTTTAATGAAAAAGCCTGACCAGATTTATTACCTACCTAATGATACTACTGAAGCCATTGCGGTGAGCTAAAAGTAGTGAGCCCATTACCATTCCTAATGTGGTTCTACCATATCCCACATGGCAGGTGAACAACATTGCCATACTGGAACCATGTGTTTTGTCAAAACCACTTGGACATTCCTATTCATGGGATTTAAAAAGCAACTGTATTAGCACTGGTTATTTCTTATCTCAAGTATGGTAGAACTGATTGATTGATTGTAAGTTGTTTAACGTCCCTCTCGAGAATTTTTCACTCAAATGGAGACACCACCACTTGCGGATGGAGAGCTGCAAATTTTGTCCTATACTCAGCACTCAGGGCCATTGAGCAGCGAGGGATCTTTTTCATGCCAACATCTACTGTGACACAAGACCTCAATTTATATGGTATCATCCGAAGGACTGGTCTCCACGTCCCACTGTGGGATTCAGACCCACAATGTAAGGATTGACTCCTTACTTTGCAACTTTAGAGCAGACGCTCAAACCACTGCGCCACTGGTAGAACTGTAAAACTGGTGGATGCAAGGCATCACAAAAGCATAAAATTTCAATATTCAACTCATAAGGCTCAAAGTCGCATCTTAGTTTTGTTATTTGCTCACTTCTGATTTTTTGTTTGCACATGATGTTGTTTTGTCTTGTTTTCATTCATTCAGAATACATGAACTTGCATCTTTATCTTAATTCCATTAATCTGGAATACATGAACATTCCCAATATAAACTGTCCACTTTATTCCTAACATCAGTACCAGTGCAAAAAAATACAAGTAAAGATAAAGTAACTAAATAACTGACCTTGAGACAAGAGGCCCAAAGGGTTTTTGAATAGCTCCTCTAGATCTGATAAATTGTACAACCTATCACTTCAACTTGAAGCCTGTAAGTATCCTATATATTTAAATATGAATTAGCCTTCAAATTCCAAACATAGGTAATCAAAGATTACGAAGCTCACCTCGACGAATGTTATCAGTTTAAGTAATGCAAATCTCACATCATATTTTTTAACACTAAGTATTTATTTTGACAACAATATTCAAGCAAGTTCTGTTTAAATAGGTCTTAAAGTTCACTGGGGATTGACCTGTTCTAAAAACTAGGTCAGACCCAGCATCCGAAGCAAGTCTGGTAGTGTCCATCCCTAGATGCATCATCCATGCAAGTTTGGTCCAGGTAAAGCTTATAGTTACTTGGGAATGGGCCTGCTCCAAAAACTTTAACCTGGTCACTCATCTGGAAAATGTAGGTCACATCCAGCATCCGAAGCAAGTCTGGAAGTGTCCATCCCTAGATGTATCATCCATGCAAGTTTGGTCCGGGTAGGGCTTATAGTTACTTGGGAATGGGCCTGCTCCAAAAACTTTAACCTGGTCACTCATCTGGAAAATGTAGGTCACATCCAGCATCTGAAGTAAAAGTGTCCATTAGATGTATCATCCATGCAACGGGTCTTATAGTTACTTGGGAATGGGCCTGCTCCAAAAAACTTTAACCTGGTCACTCATCTGGAAAATGTAGGTCACATCCAGCATCCAAAGCAAGTCTGGTTGTCCATCCCTAAATGCATCATCAGTGCAAGTTTGGTTTGGGTAGGGCTTATAGTTACTTGGGAATGGACCTGCACCTAAAACTTTAACCGGGACGCCGACGCTAACGCTGAGGGTATAGCATAAGCTCATCTCGACTTTGTCGAGGTGAGCTAAAAATTAATCATTGTGACCTACAAGTTGGTTAAAATACTTCAGGAACCCAAAGTGCTTTTGGGTTGAAATACATTGAGGACTTAGGATGCACCGACTGACAAGGTTAGATGATCAAGTGTACAACATACTGTAAATCTGGAAATTTTTGCTGTAGATAAATTTTTAGCAAATTTGCGAATTCATTGCATTCGCAAAAATATCTTAAAAATAAATTACCAATAAGAAAATGTAAACAAAGCAGTGGTAATTCGCAAAATTTTGAAACGTAAAAATTAATCAACACCATTTTGACCCGAATTCGCAAAATAAAATCAACGTAAAAATTTCCAGATTTACGGTATGCCTCTAAAACAATTTGAAAATGAATTCTTGCAAAATTCATAAAGTAGGTCATTGTGACCTAATTTTGAGAAAAATGGGCTCAAGTACAATATAAGACGAAAATAGTTCCATTTTTTTCTCGTAAGAATATTTATTTTTGCATATTCATTTATATTCAAAAATGCGCAAAATTAGCATATTTTGCATATGAATCAAATGTAAATATTAATGAATATTTGGGACCATTATTGGTAAATTAGTTATATAAACCAATTGCATTCTATATTGTCAACCAATTATTATATAAAATGGAATATAAATGTACGGAACAAGAGATGTATCTTGCATATGATTTTACCGTAAATCTGGAAATTTTTACGTCGACGAATTTGGGTCAAAAACCTGTTGATTAATTTTTACGCTTCAAATTTTTGCGAATTGTCACTGGCGCTAAAAATAAAAATCAGTGAAGATTTTCAAACCAGGTATTGTTTCAAATTATTAGAATATATATCACCCATTTACTCGTAACGTGGCAAGAAATTGCAGAATCTCTCCGAAACAAATTTGATTAAAAATACATGGACTGAAATAACGTCTTAATTGATTATAACACACATTTTAGAGTTGTGTATGCCTTTTAATCTAATATATAATCCAGATGAAGTAAAAAATATAACTTATTTTCTCAATGTTTTTTTTTCTTACCTAAAATTTACACGCCGTGTTTACATTATGATTTGGAACTCTCTAGTAAATGCACTGAGTTCGAGTTATCGCCCGTGTTGATACATGGTTAGATAAAATAACAGTTCTCTCTTAATTGGTAAAATAATTAAAAAGGGGCATACCACCTCAGTGCTTGTCAAACCATCGGACGATATTGCATATAATAAGGGCATGTAATTACAGTCACGGGTAATTAACTTGTAGTTATAGTAGTATTAACAGGTTTCTTTTAAAAATGACCAGTGCGGCTTACCGACGCCTATTCTCTGAGTTAAAAAAAAGACACGAGCTCTCAGAAAAAAATCTTCACATGTTGATTTATTTTTACGAAAAATATTTTTGCGAATGCAATGCACGCGCAAATTTGCTAAAAAATTTTCTACAGTAAAAATTTCCAGATTTACGGTATTTGAATTATGAATGAATGTAATGTGCACTTAGTATAGGTCGACAGGTAGACAGGTTGGCAGGTCGACAGGTAGACAGGTCGACAGGTTGACAGGTCGACAGGTAGACAGGTTGATGAAAAGTTAGGTATATGAGGATATTTTGCATATGAATCAAATGATATTAATGAATATTTGGGGCCATTATTGGTAAATTAGTTATATAAACCTATTGCATTCTATATTGTCAACCAATTATTATATAAAATGGATTTTAAATGTACGAAACAAGATATGTATCTTGCATATGATTTTATTTGAATTATCAACGAATGTAATGTGCACTTAGTATAGGTCGACAGGTAGACAGGTCGACAGGTTGACAGGTCGACAGGTAGACAGGTCGACAGGTTGACATCAATAGTATTGTGAAGTTTGAAAGTAAATTTGTCAATAAATGTGCTTTTATATCTGGTTGAAGGATTGTCAAATGAGATGTATACATCGATGTATACATCTAACTGTTATCAGACATAACGCATATGAAATGAGAAAAAAATTTACACTTACAGGCATTCAGTGTATGTATCTTATGACTACTGTCTACCTGTCAACCTGTCGACCTGTCGACTTTTCGACCAGTCAAACCTGTCAAATTGTTCTTAATTAAAACTGTTGATCTGTCAACCTGTCTACCTGTCGACTGTCAACCTGTCGACCTGTCGACTTGTCAGCCTGTCGACCTGTGAAATTGTTGTTCAGAGGTAAAAAAAGAAATTGTGTTGCTGTTTTACATGTATCCTTGGTTTTTATTATACTAAATCATTTTATTAAAAGTGTTTGTTAATAATCAATAGAAAGTAATTTGCATATAATGTTTTGTACATATATTTATATTAGAATATATTAATTGATATAATTATACATGAATATTTATGACCTTACAAAAATATTATAATAACAAAACCGATTTACTTTAGATTATGTGGATGGGACTATTTTCCTCTTATTTTGTACTTGACCCGAAAAATGTTTCAAGGCCCCTAGACACATCAATTAACTTAAAGGTTTGACAATTCTAAATCTTTGAGTATCCAAATAATGACCTTAAATAAATTGAAAATGATAACCCATCAAATTCAAAAAGTAGGTCATGGTGACCCACTTTTTAATTGATATGCTTCAAGGCCTCATAAATCATAATGCATCAAATGAGAAGTTTTGATAATTATAGGCTTTAATATGTCCAAGATACACATCAAAACCAACTGAAAATAAATGCAAAATTTAATAAGTAAGTAACAGTGACCTACTTTTGAGCCAACATGATATGAGGTCCTAAGATGCATAAACTGCAGCTGATTAACAAGGTTTGATAATCCTAGTACTTAATGTGAGCCAAATATCATAGTTTTAACAAATTAAAATTTTTAGTAAACTTTGCAGTGACCTTGAAACAATGTCCTTTACCCCTGGGTGATGCATTGAACACTTGTTTTAAAGCTACAACATATCCTCATTCTTGTATGTAAGTTTAGTGATAATCTGTCCAGTGGTTCTTGAAAAGAAGATTTTTTTGCACCAGTGCTTTTGTTTTTACTTTCCTAATTATATCCACTTGTTCAAGAGTAACAATCCTACTTTTAGTATGAAAGATATCCCTTTGGCTAAGGATACTCTAGGATGAATTTGACAAAACTTGGTCAAGGGGTCTTTGAGATATGCCCTATAATCCAAAAAGTTGATGCAAATCATACAAATGGCCACATCATTAGCTTTTTGAGCCTTTGGTAAAGAAAAGCTAAAAGTGCAATGTCAGACTAAACATTTATTATAAAAGTTTCTTTATAAAAGGAGCAGATTTTACCTTGTAAACATCTATAAAAGAATCTACATCCATGTCACTGGGTGCAGACTCCTGAGGAAAGCACAGTCTTCTGTACCTAAAATAACAACAAAATACAATTACTTTATCTTATTGAGATGAGGACCATTTCAAACATTTAAGGATGAAAGATTTAAAATTTGACTTGACCTCTTTACCTATAAACACTATTTGAATGAAGTATGAGCCAGTTGGGGCCAAGATAGAACTATACTAATGATAAGGATTTCATAGATTTGACCTTGACCTCTGACCAGAAACAAGATCAGTCTTTTTTTTTCATTATAAAGAAAATGATGCAGACCTGACACAGTGAGAGCAGAGGATGTGCCTGGAGTAGACTTCCTCCGACACTAACAGGTGGTCCTCGTACTGTACGTAAAACTCGTGGGGCTCTCTATGAAGGTTCTCCAAGTCCTTGTAGAAGTAAAACTTGTTCTCTTCTTTCAGTGTTGCCAAGTCTATCACCTGTAATTATGAACAATTGAATTAAAGCAAAAACCTCATATACATATATATTATTATAATAGTAACTTGATCTGAAGGGTCGTATCATGTCGAGTTGACAGGCGCGGATCATCAGATCTAATGAGACGCGAAGCATCGAGTTTGATCTGATGATCTGCGCCTGTCAACGAGATAAATTTATAATATACCCCCTCATTACTAGCAAAATATAACAAAATAAAACTTTAAAGAACAATTGTATAATATTTATCCATAAAACAAAGCATAATGACAAAGGACTTTTTTACAAGCAAGAAAAATAACTTCATGTTTCTGCTTACTACATCATCAGTTTCAGAGTGTGGTGATATGGATTCAGAAAACTACAGTGTGGTGATCCAGAAAGTCGGATCACGACGTCACGTGATAGCGTAAAATCAACAGTAAAATTGAGTGATACACATTAGGTATATAATAAAAGATGGTATTATAGATCTACTTGTTTGTACCTATAATAAAAGTTCCAAATAAAATTCACTAAAATAATGCCTCAGTAAGCTTATGTTATCCATGAATATGGATGCATTTTTCCCCAATCTGATTTCTTCTTCAACTCCACCTTCAGATTCTAGTTTATAATTAACAAGAATGTGAAAAGTTTACAGATTGATAGACAGACAGACAATGGACAAAATGTGATTAGCAGAGCCCACTAGAGCTTTTAGCACAGGTGAGCTAAAAACCAAAAAAGCATCAACTGACTAAGTTTTATGTTTCTGCAACATTTGAATATTTCCATGAAATTCCACAAGTAGGTCAACATAACCTACTTTTTGGTTGATATACTACGAGATTATAGGATGCATCAACTGACAAGACTGGATAACCCTTGGCTTCACAGTGTCCAAAATAAGCAGCAAATAAATTGAATAAATAGATCATTGTGACCTACTTTTCTTAAAATTTGTTTCATAACCTATGATGTACCAACTTACAAGGTTCAATGATTTTAAACCTCTCAGTATCTGAAATACTTTTTTTCTCTAAATGATTAGCCATTCACTTCAGTTCATGGTAATGAACCTTTTACTGTAAACATACTGTATGGTCAGTTGCACTCCTGGCTCCATCCATCAGAGCCATTGTAATACTTATGTTATTGGAGATATCATAAAGAACAATACAATCATCAGCAATGTCATTGGACATTATCATTTCAAAGCCAGTGACATTTTACAATTATGGGCTTTTAAAGCCGCTCAATCCGAAACAGGCACATACATGTATTATCTTACACAATAAAAGTACATCATTACATAGAAAATATATAAAAATAAATTATAAGATTGATTTAATGGTTTATTACAACAATCCTTACAAGGAAAACATAGATCAAAAAACTTATTGACAAACAGAAGTTCCTGACGGGAAGTTAAGATCTGTTGTGAAGTCACCTTTGAAAAAAAATGAATTTAATATCGGGTTTATCTAATTATGAAGATAATTCAAACCCAAGTATTTTTTTTCCATTAGTAGAAGCCATAGAAGTCATAATATCTTTTAAAAATTAAGGAATTAATTGAATATAATCCATAGTAATTTTTTTATTAATATGCATATTTAAAGAATAAAGGAAAATCAGATATTTTTTAAAAGGAAGTTTAGTAACGAAGGCTAAAATATTGTCCGTGTACAGGTATAAGTATACTTTGTTGTGAAAAAAATGCTCGGGTTTGTTCTTCATGAGATATATGCAATAAATTTAATTTTCGAAGGTGATTCCACGCGATATCAACATAGGATTATTTTTTCTGTGACCTAACAAAAATTATTTTTTTAACTTTTGAATTTTGATATCTTTTGAAAGAAAAAGACTTTGGGGATATAATTTGATAAAAGTTGAAACAATTTATGAACACACTAATTTTCAAGAAGAAAAATGAATTTATTTTTCCGCAATTAGAATCGGACTAAGCGGCTTTAAGGTTAAAATGGTTCAATATTGAGTAGGTCAATATTCATACTTTTCTGTATTTAAACTATGTCTATATCTAGTGTGCATCGAGTATAGTAACTATACTCTGTCAAATATTCACTCAGAGTGTTAATATCTGGCTTTAAGTATCCTTGGAAGTTTGAAAATTCAATTGATGTGTTGAAAGCTGACCTAAATACAGACCACATCAATAACCATTTAGAACAGCTTTCAATTAGAACAAATCCCCTGGGTGTTGTTTCAACAGTATCTTTCACACAAATCAATAGAAAAACGTGTCATGTCTTTCATTTCACGTACTACAGTTATTGTGATGATTTATTATGTGTGGCCTTAGCTGTTATTCTTCATCTTTAGATTTTTCTTAATGAATCAGTCTTCACGAAAACTCACTGCTCTGAAGTCCGAAGCCAGTGAATTTTGGCATCGGGTCAGCAAAAATCAAAATTCAAGAAGTCCTATGGGCTTGTTGAATATCACAATCATACACATTCAATACATGTATATATATTTAAACTGTCTTAATTGCTTGCGTAATTTCATTACTATGTTAAATAAAAAGAACAAGCATGTGCTGTTATATCATAATATCATATTATTATTATTAATAATAACATGGATGTATTACGTAACAATCGGAACTGGTAACTATTAACTAGTACGTAAAATGTGCGAGTATCCTAGGAACAATTAACTTACAGAAACACGACAAAGGGCGAAAAATGGCTGTTTCAAAAGTTGAAGTACTTAATTAAACATATTAATGCAGGCATGTATTAATTTATATGTATTAATTTTTTTTTTTAATTACGGGGACCGGTCAAATTTTTGGTGGACCAGTAAATTTTGAAAGTTCACTGATCCGACTGGCCAGTAGGTTTGAAAAGTTTTGGTGACGACTGATGAATTTTTTTTTCACCTTTCTTCTCATCAAAAATGTTATCCCCATATTTTTGCCACACTCTATATATAGATAGACAAACAGAACTGAGTCATGTATTAATTATATTTGAATCTGCACTATCTCAGGATGCTTGCAAATTTAAACGTCTAACTAAAGGATTATAACTTTGTTAAACTAGAGCCGAGCTCGTTGCAAAGCAACGAGTAGGTCTTCCGTCCTGTTTGACCGGAAGTAACTTTTATTTAAAAAAAAAGAGTAATGAAGTACAAAAATGGGTTAATCCTCCAAATCTATGTTAAGTATAGCAAAATTAATAGGGCTGTGCAATATTACCGGTATATCGGTATATTGCGGTATTATCCACCACGATAATATATCGCGATATAAAAATCAGATACCGGTATTTCACGATATTTATAAAATATATTTTTATTGTAGAAACTGCTGAAATAATACTTGTAATCCCCAGGCCTTTTCAATCTAGTAATAAAAATATCTCGGCTTTCAGAGGCAGATAGAGAGAAGAGAGAGAGAAAGGAAGCTTTTCATTCACTGTCGCAATTTTAAATATATTACTTTAGAATAAAATTAATAATTAATAAAGACTAAGAAAGAAAATGTATAAAACATTTCTACAGGGTGTATACCATGTGTAATGCGGTTCTCAAAATCTCGTGGAATCTACACGATCGACGATGAATGTTAACTTCAAGATACATATTACACATAAATGGCCATCCATGTTTTCACTTGATACAGTGTTGCTTTTTATTATTTTTTAAACAAGTTTCTTGCCATTTTAAACACCTTCATGCTATACCAAGAGCATGTATATTAAAACAAAAGAAATAGGCCAATGCAGTTCCTGATCGTATGTCATAATGTGAAATTAGGTCGGGTTAGACTACAATACCAAAACGCCCGAAAATAGATCACAATTTCTTTCTGGCTTTAATTTTATTCAGTGACCACATAAAATTTCTATATAGTATGTATTGTTTTAATCATTAAATTACATTTTATGCTATTTCAATAACCCCCCCCCCAAAAAAAAAAAAAAGCTATAAAGAATAAACTATGCATAAACTTTTTTTTTTCAATTTGAAAATACATCAAATGAGTATATTTTGTTTTAATTTTTTACCTGGTTTTTGATTAAAAGTTATCATAATTATGTGTGCGATTAATGTCTTATCCCCCGCCTCCTTTAAAATTTATAGATAAATTTAAATAGTCTTTGAACTTGACAGCATTTTAAACTTTCTGTACAAATTTATTAATGATAATTAATCTACAATATATCGCAATATATTGCAATATTCAACGTAAAATATTGCAATATATCGCAATATGGTTTTCACTCGCAATACCCAACGCTAAAAATTAAGCCATTCTTTGGTACTTCCGGTTTGACCTGAAGTGACAACGACGGACGGAAAATTAATATTTAAGCTTCTAGTGAGACATGTTACCCAAAAACCTGTCAAAAACGGCAAAAATATGCATTTTCTGACTACTTCCAGTTCGACCGGAAGTGACGTCGCCGGACGTATTTTGACAACCCCATTAGATAAAGCTTGATATTTTGAACATCTTTGCTTCTTTGATGCATAACAAATTCTCAATACTTTTTGAGATATCTGGAAAAAACTTTTGGCCCCTCTAGGTCCCTTAATTTAGGGCTCAGCCCTTTTTTCGACATATCATTTGAAAGATCTTATAATTCTGCACAAATTATGTTCTATATATTTTAACAAAATATTTTTAGTTTAAAAGATAAAAAGAAAAATATGAGTAATTTTTGGTTCTTTTAAGCGTTCTAATTTTTTACCCCTATATAGCGCCATTTTGAATACAGAAATCGAAAAACAAAAACCGATGTGCACAACTTCAATCCTTCTATTATCTAAAATCAGTAGAATTTCTGCTCCAGCTTTAGCCGTCTCTGAGCCTTTGTCTGGAAATGAAAGCCTATAAATTTTCCTTTAAAGGGAAATAACTCAAAACCGGAAGTGGCTTTTTGAAATTTTAGACATCATTCTGATAGAGTTTATTAACATCTATAAAGTCTGAAAATTTGAGCAAAATCCGTTGAAAAATGAGCGAGATATGAGGCCTCAAAGTTGCAGTCTAGGAAGCAGAAGAAAAAAAAGAATAATAACATTTACCAACAGAATCAGTAGAAGGTCTTCCGTTGGAAACGGAAACCTTAATAAGAAAAAGGTGATGACAGACACTCAAAATATGACTCATTGGTAGATTGAATTTGCCAGGTCACAATAACATTTCTAGAATTTTAAAAAATGCTTAAAATAATCTTGAAATCCCTGTAATATCAACTATTTTGTCAAGAGCTTATCTCTGTTTTAAATTCATTATATTCAGAACATGCTATTGAGTATCAAATATAAGTAACATATATAAATCATAAAAAGGTAGTAGTGTAAATAAGGAAAATTGACGCTGGTCATCTTGTTTGTTATAAAATATTCACCAGTAGTTAAGTTGTTGGTTGGTCCTCATTGTTTACTTTCAATAAAAGATCTGAATATGAAACAGATGTTTTACTCTAAAGAGATGTATGCCATTTTCTGTAAATTAAATACTGCTCTTTTTTTCTGTAATTTGAGCTTTTTTTCCCAGTAATCTCAATATGCTGTCATAATTTCCCTATGAAATCAATACAGATATATTTGATAATTTTTTTTATACAAATAGCAAAATATATTTTTTCTTTACTTTACCTTCTGATTTATCAATAAGCATCATATTTATGACAATCTGTGTATAAATCAGCATTTTTTGAGACTTTTTTTTTTATAAATCCTTATCATATCTGAAATATTAGGTAATGAAATAATGTGCATAAACCAGAAGCAAAATATTTAATGACGATAAATTCCATATTTTGAAATCAAAATCATTTCGAAATTCCACAATAGTAAACAGATCTGGTATTAAACATGACAAGATTTTCCCTATAAAACCAAACATGCTGCATTTACTAAAAGCAATGATATGAGGCCTATAAGTACCTGTATTCAGCTCAATTGATTTAATGCCACAATCAGAGACGATCACTTAAGCTATAGTCTGTAAACAGAGGCAGTAGGAATTACCAGATTAGTACTTGCATAAACTGCTTAAATTGAATTTCAGTAAATCAATACAAATACATTCAAGTGACAAGAGAAAATCCGGACATTTTATTGGAGCCATATTTGGGATTGACGGACATTAATCACAAATAAGGAAGCACAGGAGCGACATATTGCCTGGCGAGGAAACTGCATAAACTGTTGCCCTTAAACCTGACCTGGTAGACAAGTGTCGAGAAATTGGTTTGACATAATCTGGCAGTTATTAAGTTTGCTCAAGCAATGTTGTGAATCATAAAACTTCTGATCCTCTGACATCAGCCATCTTGACATTTCCTCCGACTCCAGTCGTCAAGGTTGGTTCTTCCTTCAATCAGGAAGCCAAGGGATTTCATAAAGGAAACTGAACAGACATCTAAGGCCTAAGAAAAAATACTGTGGCCCCATCCTATGCTCCCTCATGTCGATCATTATGACCATGCACACACATCAGGTATCTGCTACGTACATAACTAATAAACAACTACTACATGTACATGCAAACAGTTCCATGGACATTTTATGCATCATGAATCTTTCATAAAAAAATTTTTAATCTTTGCATTAAATTTTCTAAATCCCAGGATGAATAGAGACCTAGACCATGCATTTTAACAAACTTTTTTTTACATATCTTGAGTACATGTATATACATAAATAGTGCAATATCAATGAACTGCTATATAAAAATACATTAAATCCGTCTCTTTCTTTCTCGATCCCTGCTTAATTCATTTATGTTTGAATTAAGGGCTTAATTAGTTCAGGGCTCGACATTAACTTTTTTTCCTACTTTTCCATTCGGACAAGTGACGAAGACATTAAGTTGTCCGAACTTCAACTTCACTTGTCTGCAATTTTTTTAATAAATTTTTAGTGTTCCTGATATTATTGATAAATACAGCAAACACATAAAACGAAACTTATCTAGGCTTTCTGACCTGACAATATAAATGTCCACTAGTGAACTTGTCCAAATCAATCCAAACTTCGTAAGCTCCATGCCTTTCCAGTAGTATGCAATACCTGCACTTCAGTTCCGATCGAATGTGAACTCAATATAATAGCAATCCATATCGGGATCGAAATCCGGTTTTATGTACAGCTTCCACTTTGAAACTACCTTTCAACACTGTTCAACAGTCATTCTTTTTATTATATATAGAGACTACTTTACATTAAAATGCACTTGTCCAATCGGACAAGTGCCCAGCAATAATCACTTGTCCGTAATTATTTTTCAATGGTACCGGACAAGCGGACAAGCTTTAATGTCAAGACCTGTAGTTGCCTTGTTAATGAAATATACATGTCATTAAGCTTGCTTAATTATTTCTCCATAAATAATGAAAATGAAAGAAAAGTGAGCAAGCTCACATACCCCTTGCTCCCTCAAAAGTCGAAGTGCTGAAATTCCCTGAAAAAATAAAGGAATCGGAACTTCCTGGTAATATGCCCAGCTACACATTGTGTCCTAAATATCTGCAAAGTTTGACAAAATTCTGGGCAGCAGTTTATGAGGAGTTACTAGTATGCTGACAAACTGTCCATCTCTATATTCAAGATGTAACCAAAATATAAGTTGAAAAGTTTGGAAATTCCCGGAAAAAATAAAGAAATCGGAATTTCCTGGTAATATGCACATTTACACATTGTTTCCTAAATATCTGCAAAGTTTGATGAAATTCTGTGCAGCAGTTTATGAGAAGTTGCGCTGACAAAAAAAACAGGACAGACGGACTGACCCTCTGACTGACTGACTGACGGACGGGTCAAAAACATTATACCTCATGCAACTTGTTGCGTGGGGTATAATTAATCTATTTAATTCACAATACTACTGTATAATGATTAAGTTGATCAATTACCAACATCGAAGATGCAAATAAGAGGTGAGGCATCTGCAAATGGTAAAAATACTGGTGAAGTGTAATGGTTTGTCCATAAACAATAATGGAGGCAGCTTCTTTGAAGTCATCATAAACTCGTATCTGCCTGTTCACTGTTATCTGTAAATCATGGATGCCTATACTCCTGAGAGTTGATCCGAGTGTTAAGACTGTGATGTACCTAAGTACTACAAGTGCCGGTTCAAAGGGACAATTTGTCACTGAGGCAGAAACAGATACCAGTAATCCAAGATTCTCAATTGTCTATATAATCTCTGCTTTTACCCAGACAAATGATAAACACTGTGCTTGCACTTGACTGGAAAAAAATAGTTCTGGATACAAAAGCACTTTCACTGTTCTTTCACTTATGTTAAACACTTTCATCTCATCAAATGATTTGTTTTGGGGTTTTTTTTTTACTACAGATGACAGTCCTAAAAACTACATGCAGGCTTGGTAATTTGTTCAAAGTTAATGTATAAATTTCCAATTGATAATAAAACTTGAACCTGCAGCTTTGGGGCAACCAAAGCCAAATCATTTTTTTTTAACCTTGCCTTGAAGTTTACTGCAGAACAATTGTTTGGTGACTGTTTATCAAACCTTGCCGGCTGCATTTCATTTCCGGAATTTTTGGTAATTATCAACTTTTCATTTCCAACATTTTTAAGTTTTCATTTCCGACAATTTTTTGTTTTCACTTCCGACATTTTTTCAAATACATAAGTAGTACCTATAGTAACAAATCTGATAACTTTACTTATGAAAAATTTAAAGGAATAAATCATAAATAAATCATTGAAATCCAATTTTGTAAGTCTATCAGTGACTTGGACATAAGTATGGTGCTGTCATTGACATTTGATTTAGTGCACATTAAATATGGTGAAAAAGTTTTATGCTCATTAAACTCTTTTACCTAGACTTAGTGCTACATGTATGCATATATGTATAAATAGTTTTTTTTTTTAATTTTATTAATATTTTGGCATTAATACTTCTAAAATTCTATTTTCTTTTACTTAGAAAACATTGAATTGCCGCACAGGTAAATTCCGGAAATGAAAAAAAATTATGTCGGAAATGTCGGAAAAACAAAAAATGTCAGAAATGAAATTAAAAAATGTCGGAAATGCTATGCATATTTCCGGAAATGAAATGCAGCGACCTTGCCATGTTTCTTATATGTGTATGAATACCATGGTATATACCTCTTTTCTGATCCTAGCCTCTGCTTCGTCTGCTTCATAGGAGGATCTGCCCAGGTTGACCAGTTCCTTCAGGCTCTCTTTCTCTCTGATGGAGTAAGGCAGCATATCCGAGGCATTCTCCACAAACAATACAGGCTCCTCTCTCAAATTAAACAGTAAAACCTCCTGTAAAAGAATTCATACATACAAGAATCATCATCTCTATATATTTAACATTCATGATACCCATCCAACCACACTCATATTAAGTTTTCTTTTAACACTTAATTTTCAAAAAGATATCTATAGTTCGTAATTAAAATGTACAAAATTTCTGCATGCCAAAATTTGTCAAAAATGGCATTTGGTAACTTGATAATTTTATAAAGAAATAGCAGTTATCTCCCTTAATAAAGGGTCATTGGCCTTGAAGATAGATGTGCAGATATGAAAAGGTACAAAAGCTAGGTTTTCTTTATCTAAATAAAACTTCTATCAAGATGAAACCTAATACTGTAGATCTCTCTGTTTTTTATGATGCCTAATGTTTGCAAGATTGTTGTTTGTTATAATTTATAATTGATACAAAATTTTCAGTTTTGCCTCACAAGAGGCAGTTTAATTAAGATACTGATATGTACCTGTGACATGAAAAAAATGAAAACTATGCAGCAAGACCTAATCTGAAGAAGCTTTTAAATTTCTGGTTCTGGTAAGCTGAAATATAACGTACTTCAATGGCTTCATCTACATGTTACAACCTGAAGCAATCAAGAAAGCATATTCCAATTATACCAGATTTTTTGTTGGGTAAGCTTCATTACAAGCCAATGATCAGCTCCATTGATCATTAAGTTTGATGATAAACTGAACAATACCACTTGATATCATCCTAGCTAAGGGGCTATGAAACCATACTTTGTTCATAAATACAATATTCCTCCTAATAACCACCTTGGGCATACATAGAAACCAGACCTAGTACCAATAAAACATATTAGCTATGAAGTGACAAGAGAGAAATCATGTAATATTGCTGCATCAATCAGAATTCGCTTAATAACAAAAGTTAAACAGAAATTTACCAGTAAGGCCATTCTAAAAAAAGTTTGTTGGGAATTGCTGTCTATGAGGTTTCAGGTCCAGAAGGGAGAGAAGGAATTTAATTTTTCCCTTTGAATTTTTGTTCAATTAAAAAATGGTGCTAAAATCTTGACAATAGGCTCATGGGCCACAATGCTCACCTGAATTATTAATGACCCTTATATTCCTTATTCCTATGTAAAAATTTGATCAGTCAAGGTGGTCCCATTCTACAACTGTGGATCAGAATTTGAACAAACATGAAGATTCTTCCATATGAGGGACCAACAAAATGACCACCAACAATGAAAAAATTTGATATGCATTACAGTACATATTCAAACAAGAAAAACAATACTTGATAAGTAATTAGAATAATCCCTTATCCTAACTTTAAGTTAAAGTTTTTCAGGAGTAGGTCAAACACCAAGGTCAAATACATTGGGACCCAAACAGAGGAATGCATGTGTGAAATATGAAAGCCCTAGATCCAACAAATCAAAAGGTATGGGCAAGGTTAAAGTTTTTGAGGACAGAGAAACAGACAGACAGACAAACAGGGAAAAAACTACATACCCTTAAATCTTTGATTACTGGGGCATAAAAAGGAGGAAATATCTATAAGCCATGTTATAAACAACTTACCGTGTGACCCTCATCCACTAGATGGTCTATCAAATAAATGAGTCCTTTTTCTGTTGGTTGGCCCGCACCATAAACAGGCAATCCTTTTGAAGCCTGGTGAAAATTGGGAGCTTTATACTGGGCATAAGTTTTCTTTATGTCTGATTTATCTGAAGCATCACGTACCAAAAAGTACTTCCCCTGATGAAAAAGAAAGAAAAATTTCATTTAAAAACATTTCTTCAGATTGACGCATTTTCCCCAATATAATTAGTAGAACTTAATTAATTGCCCTGCACCAGAATCCCTGAGCCAGATGCCATGAAATTCAAAATTTTGAAAATGCCATCCTTGCTCATAACTATGCACTTGGGTTTCTTTGCTTAATGCACAGAAGCAGAAAAGATCTTCATAGAAATATCTCACTTTTGCTGCATAATAATTAGAGCCCCCTCCAAATGAACTCATTAGCCTGACCATTGGTCACAAGTTTCACAATTTTGAAAGAGGTACCCTTGATAAAACCATGCACTTAGTGAATCAGCTGTGGAGATGGATAAAGGCTAAGAATAATGAAAAAATTCATTATTACTAAATTATCATCAGAGCTCCAATTCAAGAATATCTGACCCTGGGGCCAAGTCAATTTTACTTTTTTGGGAGAAGACTCGTTGTTTATTACATGTATTACAATCAGGCTCCCAGATTTATTACTTGATGTCCAAGTGTAAAGATTTTTAAAGATAGCACTAATGTTGGTCCCTTCAGGGCAGGAATCATGAAACTCGCAATTTTTGTTTTGACCCTTCACTCATTTATGAAATGCCAAATTGTTTGAAATCGTTTCACAACTGTTATGTTCCAGCATCCTCAAAACGTAAGGGGTCCTAAGTCAACACACTGCCGTTACGTGTTGACTCAAGACCCCTGATGTTGTGATGATGCAGTTCCAGAGAAGAAGCTGAAAATGTAATCTGTTACTTAGAGTCATGAAATAAGATGACATCTCACACAATGACTAACAAAAACAGATAGCACAATTATTGGTCACCTGAGTAGGTCAGATCCAGCATCTGAAACATTAGCCTGGTAAAAGTGCATTCCTAAAGATACACCATCCATGCAAGTACAAGACAGTGATTTCACAGATCTACTCCCACCCAATCCTCATTTCCATTTTCCCCCAATAGTTATATTTATACATGTATATATTTATACATATCCAGCACTTTTAAGTTCCCATCTAAAATTATCATCATATATCAATTTTTTAATTAATATAATTTATAGCTAGTTATACGTACTCCTGGATGGACATTTATGATATTACTATATTAAAGAATATATTTTTGTCATTTCTTGTGCAATTCCTCTCCCAGTTAAATAACAATGACCTTGCCCTGTGGACCATTAATTTTCCAACAGAGAACTCTATGATCCACAGATTACACTGAAGATAATACATTACCTACCAATTTTACTTAGCTCTCCCCTCCACTAATTATTATTGATGTCGACTTTGTCGTGATGCTTGATGATACAGATTTTGAAGGTAATTCAATATGTCTGAACAAAGTCTTCTGGACTTTCTTAACCCATATTTATCTGTCTACCTTTCTTTTTGCATAAAACTTTAAGGACTAAACGTATAATCAACTGTCTAGGTTTAAATATCTAGTATAATTATTCTAGAACAAACCTTTAAAATAAATTACTCTCAAAATTTCGAATGTCTTGATATAATCATTTTAAGAACTTCTAACTACGAGGGGTTATCAAAAAGTTCGTGGACTAGCGCCATAAAATTAAAACCACTTAAAGACCCAATTTTTTTACCGTACGGTTACCTGAGGAGGGGGAGTGGTCTTAATAACAGTGGTGTTATTTACCTGGAGACCCCCAATACCCAAGATGTCAAAAATCTATATATACACGTAGCATTACACAGGAAGTCTGTGTCTGGTGACCAGGGTCAATATTCCGTGTTTCGTGTCTAAATTTGAGTGAAACTACTTGAAATAATTGAAATATTTCAATAAAATTTTTTTTATAAATACTTTCAGCGACATATAATGAAGAAAAAAATTATATACAGAAATATCGTTTTTACATTTAAAAAAAATGAAAAATTAAAGAAAAGAACACAGAGTAAAACTACAAAGTAAACATATCTTTTTTTTAATTAACTTGTGTAAATATCAAAATTTTTTTTAAAAAATCATAAAATATTCCATTCATAGGTAGGCCTATCCGTCGTGTGAACATATACAATATACCGTACCACGATAGGAATATTGCCTACGTTCTGATCAACAATAGTGTCGAAAATATTCACCATTTCCGGGTGTTCGTGTGTTTAAATTTTTTTTTTATTGTTTGCAAGATTTCTTTTATACTTTTAAGAATTGATCTTTGGCTGTATATATTCACTTTTTAATTCCGAATGTAGGGTATATTGACAGATGTTAGGAAATTTGAACTAAAAGTTACAATATCGAAACTCCTAGCTGTTTCTGACATTTCAGAACTTTACAACGGAAAATGGTATAGATTAGATTGTATTCATATATACGTAGATAAAACATGGGAAAAATGAATTTTTATCCATGCCGTTTGTGCTAAATATCTTTTCTTATTTATCATATTTCAATTTTAATCGGCAATTAGCGTTTCTGTGCACGGACTGGTCTAAATTCTACAGAGCAGATATCTTGGACGACATATCGCCTAAAATACAATGTAGCCGTTGAGATTAAAAGCAAATATTTTATGAAGTTATGTTTTAATTATCTACTATCAATTGTTTTTAAAATAAAATTTTACCAAGATTCTTTTTTAAACCCCGTGTATACAAGGCGGCTACATGAAAGTGTTTGACGCGTGACCCGGCAATCGTTTTCAAAACACACAAACTCAGACCATCAGGTAGCACGGGTAGTTGGCCTGTCAATCAAATCAGAAGCTATTGTTTTTTTAATGATTGACAGGCGGTAAATTATTGATCTTGAATCAGGTAGATTTTGGGGGCGTTAACATAAAATTGGGTGTTTAAGGTACATCAATGAATTTTGAAATATCTAGTTAGCATCATCTTTTCTATCCAAAGAATAAACCACAAATCATGAATTTTATTTTTTAAAATATTAGTAATGTTTTTGTAAGCAATGGTATGTCCAGGCGGCGCAACCTCGAAAACGACGTTTTTTCGACCTATGTGTACCTGAGAAAAACTCCTTTGATATGATTATTTGACATCCAAAAATCCCGTTAATTCAGGTATGTGTCGGGACACAATTGTTCCATAAAATATGAAATTTTCACTTTATTCTGGAAGTTCTATGAAATTTTATCGTAAATTTTACACGAAATGTCCAAACAAATGAGGCCTTGAAAATGACGTCAAAAGGGGTGAGGGGTTTCCGTTTCCAACATTCTATAAAGTTTTGTCCCTGAAAAAACTAGTATAGACCTAAAATATGTTGAAACTGGCTACAGAGAAATAATATGCATCCAGAGTACCTGTCTTTTAATGTCAAAATAGATTCAGAGAGTAAATGGATGCACAGTTAATGTCTATTTGCAGTCAAGATGTGAAAAATCAATCCCGTCAAAAATGACGTTGATCATGTGTTGTAGATATAGAACTCCCGAAAGCAAAATATGCCGGCACAATCAAGCGCGGATCTCTCCCGATATATTAATCCATCTGGAATATTATATTCATTGAAGGCCACTGTTCATGACATTGTAAAGTCATATAAACAAGGCGGGTTTAAGTCCTTACTCAGCTCCAGGGAAGCTCATCAAAATGTGTATTAGGTAGGAGAAGAGGACTGCATTGAAAAAAAACAATGACGTTATTGGACGTCATGAAAATAAACGACGAAAGCGCCAGGTGATCATATAATGTCCTTTTCATTTTATAATAATTTGGCGAATAATGAATGTATCAGGCTAAAATTTTCACCATTTCTTTATTTTGTGTTGTTTTATGTTCCATATAAATTTTGAAAGCACAGACTAAATAGTACTAATTTTATAGCCTCAGTCCACGAACTTTTTGATAACCCCTCGTAGTAGTCAGAATGAATGTTTCAGCTTCGTAAAATTACAACTTCCATTGCCTTGTTACTGTAAACCAACTTTTATTCACATGCGAGAAATTTTGAGAAGTTTGTGAGAGCGTCTTCATAGCAGATGTATATATATAAGTCTATAGTCAATTTGTCTTACAAGGGAAAAGTGAATCCAAAGTCATTTTCAGCCTTTTTTTGGAAAGTAAAATTATTCTTCAACTGAAAACTAGTTACAGGAGGTGATCCAAAATCATATTAACAGTAGTTAATTTGTAAACTTTACTTAAAATACTACAACTAATTAAAAAATCTTTTTATGTTAGAGAGATCGAGTTTGTCTGGCATGGCCATAAGAGGGAATATCCAATACCCAAGAACTTATATCAATACCGTAAAATATAGGAGGACACAAGTCAGTCACAGACACAATAAAAACCAGCCCTCCTATGACCATATGGTGAAGGACCCTATATATCAACCAGATAAATGCCTCCAGGTCTTTGGAGAGTCGAAGGGAACGTGTCAGGAACATTGATCTCACACAATTGGATCAAACTCCCATCTCGTTTATGGTATATCCGAGCTTGATCAGCCATACACTGCATTAGTGTCAAGCTTAAATTCAAAGCAATTTTCCCCCCAAAGTTCAAATCTGCTCCTTCCTGGGAGATTTCTACAATCCAATATCTGGGAATTATCCCGCAACAATTTAAGCTAATTTTCCAAGATATATATGTTTGATTTCATTCAATTGACAGGTTTATAGTTGTTTTTATCAAGAGGGATATCAAAAATCACAACATAATTCAATTTGAATATCATGTTTACACATATAATACGCAGCTCTGCGGAAAACGGGGGACAGAATTAATAAAAACATAGACATCTCTTAGTCTCTGTCATATATCTCAATAATTACTTTGCTTTATTTTCTTCCAATTCTGATTTTATGTATTCATGAGTACACAGATCATTATTTCTCTATCTCTGGTCATTACAGAGAAGATAAAAGTTGGGATATGGAATTATGAAAACATGTTAAATATAAAAGAAGCAATATTGTTGATAGCTCACATGATGTGCTAATGGCTGCTCATACAAAGTAACTTGAAGCAAAACCATTTTCGTGGAGGAATATGCGAAAATTAAGTGTTGAAAAATAATAAAAACTGTAAAACAGAAATCAATAAACTCATTCCCTATAAATGCATTTTTTGGAGAATGTAAAATATAAATCAATAAAAAAAAATTTAAACGATTCTCACATTGAAATTTATTTCATACCTTCACAACCTCATCAATTAAAAATTAATCAACTTAATTGAAAAACAATCAAGATAAAACAACTGGAAATGGAAGAATATTAAATCCGATAATTTAAGTTTGGACTCTTTCATTTCATTATCCGAAAACAATTTCTTGATTATATTTTCTTGGGGAAAAAATTTCATGTACTGCAGAATTATTGCCAAAAGATTACACTTTGTTTTCCTGTTATGACTTTTTAAGCTCATCCAATATTTCATGGCACCAAATAATTTGAAACAAGGATCTTTATTCCTTAACTTGTGCAAGCTTTTATGAGATCTGATTTATATACATGTACTGGCAAAATGTTTTTACTATTCAAAAATTTTACTGCAGAGGGTAACAATATACATAAATGAGTCAAAACTACAGAACACTTGGGGAAAAAAATTTTCCTCCATTACATAACATTTGTGGAATTAATTCTTCCAAACATATATCTTTTACGAAAAACCTACGAAAAAGAGGAAATGATTCAATATCCTATCACTCTAGCTTGCACTGATCACTATCTATGGGGATTAAGATGCTAAAATCTGGTTTTGTAAAATAAATCGTCCTTAGATCAATTTAATTTAAGAGACTTTTCTGCCAATAAATCTACAGAGAAGGGAATAAACAAATCAAATTTCACCTTTACTAGTGGGTGCCTAGGCATGTTCTCTGTAATGCTTCCATAAATAATGGGATCTTTGAAATCGGTAACATGCTGAAATTCTTCTTTGCAGTCCCGGATTATGATTGGAGCAACATCATTTCCCGCTCTCACAAAATTTCTGCTTTTCTGTTTTTCTGGAAGAAAAAGAATAGGCCCATATTTTAAACATAAGATTTTTGAAAAAAAAAACATACATGTTCACAAAACAAAACAAGACTTTTTTAAAAAGACACCACCAAATTTTCAGATTCTTATTTATCTCCCCTTGAAAGAGGATATGGCCCTTCTTTTCCTAATTTCACAAGGATGCTTTGTAACAGATTGGTTAAAATTAGCTCAGTTATTTTGGAGAAGAGGGCAAAAATAGGTTTTCATCTCTTGATGCAACATTTGTGCAATAAATTTACAGATAAAAGCCTTTAAGATGGACAGCATCCTAAGCAAGCCCATTAGTGTGCATCCTAAGATGTATCGTCCATGCAAGCTTGCTCATTATAGGGCTCATAGTTAATTGGAAATGAAACATGCATCAAAAACTAATATTTTCACTCATCCATAAAAAGTAGGTCAGATTCAGCATCCGAAGCAAGCCTGGTAGTATGCATCCTTATACGTATCATCCATGCAAGTTTGGTCAATATATGGCTTATAGTTACTTGGATATGATACCTGCACCAAAAACTTTTACCTGTTCACTCAACCAGAAAATGTAGGTCATATTCAGCATCCGAAGCAAGCCCTGTAGTGTGCATCCGTATCATCCATGCAAGTTTGGTCAACATAGGGCTTATAGTTACTTGGAAATGAAACCTGCACCAAAAACTTTAACCTGTTCACTCAACCGGAAAATGTAGGTCAGATTCAGCATCCAAAGCAAAGTTGCATCCTTAGATGCATCATCCAAGCAAGTTTGGTCAACATAGGGCTTATAGTTACTCGGAAATGCGACCTACACCAAAAGCTGCATCAAAAACTTTAACCTGTTCACTCAACCGTAAAATGTAGGTCAGATTCAGCATACGGTAGTATGCATCCTTAGATGTATCATCCATGCAAGTTTGGTCAATATAGAGCTTAACGTTACTTGGAAATGAAACCTACACCAAAAACTTTAACCTGTTCACTCAACCGCAAAATGTAGGTCAGAATCAGCATCCGAAGCAAGCCCGGTAGTATTCATCCTTAGATGTATCATCCCATGCAACATAGGGCTTATAGTTACTTGGAAATGAAACCTACACCAAAAACTGCACCAAAAATGTTAACCTGCTCCAAAAACATTAACCTGGTCATTCCTTTGTTGAAATTGCATCTGAAACTTTGACATCAGAAGTAAAAAAACTTTAACCTTAACCTGGTATGAAACACACAGAACCATTTCTTGAGTATACCATTAAGCTAATCAATATAGTAATCTTCATCCAATGTAATAACCTTACTATATGTTGCCCATGATCTGTTGAAAATTCATTGCAAAAGTAAAAAATTTGTTGAACAGATAAATCACTAAGCTATTTAACCTACCATAAAAATTTAAATATAAGCCATTAATATTTTGAAGGTATTTTCAATTACGTAGATAATAGCATTATAAAAATGAAATTTTCCAAGGGTCTTAATGATCACCTAGGCATCATTAACTTTCTCCACCTTGCTTGCATACACTCAATTGACATCACTTTCATGCTGCATGTAAGTCTCTCAAGTCATTTACAAAAGAACACTACTACATATAATTGTGCAACATGATTTTTTCCTGTGAGTTCTGTGAAGAAAGAATTTCAAACAATTAACGGATTTTAAACTTGGCCTTTCCCTGGAGCCTGAAACCTTATGCCAAGGGGACTTACAATTTCACAAGTCATTCTGGGATGGAATTAACGACTGCTCAGATAAACAGTTTGACACATTAGAATGTCCAGAAAAGTTAAAGAAAAAGCTTTAAAAAGATTAACAAATTTCCAATATTAACCAATCCTAAGAACATTAAAGCTTGCAGCCAAGGGAAATAGATTTCCGGTTTAAAGTTTTATGTAAAATCACAGAATTGATGCTGTAGAAATAAAGATCATGTGGATAAAAAAAAAAATTAGGAAGAATTGATATTTGTTTATCAAAGAGTACATTTTATGATTCAGGTTAAGTCATGGTTATCTTAATTCTTTTCTGTGATATATCTTTTGATACAATAAACAATTAATACAAGAAGAAATCTTCCAAATACTGTAAGTTGTTTTAATTCCACGGTGTTAAAATTTCACGATATCTCAAAATGTACGAATTGCGATGGCTTTAATTTCACGCTGAAAGAAATTAATTCTAATTTCGCATAAGCATTTAAACGTATATAAAAACTAATTAGGGCATTCACGACTGATTTATTTTCGCGGAGAAATGATTAATCGCGAACAAAGCGAAATTTAAACCATCGTGATTATTTGCCAATCTACAGTATGACATTTGAGTATTTATCAGATCTGGTTTAAATTGTCTGAAAAGCCAATTGCTGGAATAACTAGTATAAAAGTTGCATTTGTGACAATTAAATTTTCATTTAAAAATCTAATGAAACATCAAATTAATGTAGATTCAACAACAAAATAAACATAGGATAAATTTAATTTTGGTACATGTATGCAGTTCAAGTTATTCATTTTCAAATTGGATTCATCTGAAGAAAACACTTCTCTGTTGCAGACCCACATAAAATGTGATATTTTCATGGAACAATCCCCATTATATAACCTTACCACATCAGCTGTCTGCCTTAAAATTCAATACCAGGACCTGGGACTTAGAGAACTTTGGTTTATAATCCTTTATATAGTGATTGTTTTTGTGTACCTCTGCCTTGATTGACTTATCCAGCTTCTAAGTCTCATTGCTGAACCTACACTCTATTTATTAACCTGAAAACCAATCACACCCTAATTTTCAAGTGGGGAAAAACATCCTGCAATTTTTATTTTAAACAAAATCACAAAAAAAAATTTTGGCATTAGAAAAATTATTGAACTTGAAAACTTAATTTGGATTATAAGCTTTTGAGATCTTATAATCATATTTTAAAATGAATGTTATAGAAAGATGCAAGAACCGAAATATAATACTCTGGTTAAAATTGCTATTTTAAACTTTTTAAAATTTTATTTTTTGGGGAAACCAGGAAGAAATATTAATTTATATTCTGACATAATATTTTGTCTTTGATTTCATTTTTTTAAACCTACCTTTAACAACCAATTTTTAGGGGAAAAAATCTTGGAAAAATTAAACTAACCAAAAAAGTGGCCTTAATTTCTTCAGCATGACAAAAGGAAATGTTTAAGACTGCATACCAGGGAAGGAATTATTTGCTTGTGGGATTAAGTTGAATGTGAGAGATAAATAAATCAATGTGATCTGAAGACCAGGAATGCCACCAGGCCATTTAGGCTCTCTACCCTCATCATTATAAGGATAATTCTCTCCAGATTTGTCCACTTAAATGATGATGGATATCATGTTCTTTCTGGTGTAGCATGCTCTTTTCCTACTAGTCACTGAAATTCGACTTACCACAACAAAATTACTGATATGTGGCACACCATATTCTCACTATTAATGTCCCAGCTCGATGTTATGAAAATTGTGAAAAGGATGTGGATATTTTGTATAGTCATGTTGAAATTTTTTTCTGTGAAATTTTGAATAAATATTGATCAAGTCTTAAAATTAATACGTAAATTCAAATAGAGTTGGGTATTGCGAAGGAAATCCATATTGCGATATATTGCAATATTTTACTTTGAATATTGCAATATATTGCAATATATTGTAGATTAATTATCATTAATAAATTTGAGCAGAATGTTTGAAATGCTGTCAAGTTCAAAGACTATTTGAATTTATCTTTAAGTTTAAAAGCGGGAGGAGGGATAAGACATTGATTGCACACCAAATTAGCACTTTACTTTTAATCAAATTCCAGGTAAAATAGTAAAACAAGACGAACTCTCTTGGAGAATTTTCACATTGAAATAACATTTTTTACAGATCATATAATCTTTTTTCATTGAATTCTTTTTTTTTTTTGGGGGGGGGTTAATGAAGTAGCATAAAATGTTATTAAAGATTAAAACAATACACAGATTAGGCCTATATGAAAATAATTTTCGTGTGGTTACAAAATAAAATTTTAAAAAACCAGAAAGAAATTGTGACCTGTTTTCGTGCGTTTTGGTAATTTAGTCTAACCCGACCTAATTTCACATCAAGACGTACAATCAGGAAATGGCCTGTTTTAATATATACATGCTCCTGCTATAGCAAAAGGTGTTTAAAATGGCATGAAAGTTATTAAAAATAATTAAAACAACACTGCTACAAGTGAAAACATGGATGACCATTTACTTGTAATATGTACATGTATATTTAACTTGACATTTCACCGCGATGTCGATCGTGTACTGTAGATTCAATGTGAGATTTTGAGAACCGCAATGCATATGGTATACACCCTGTAAAAATGTTTTATATATTTTCTTCCTTATAAATTTTATTTTAAAGTCTTATTAATTAGTAATTTTACTCAAAGTAAGATATTCAAAACTGCAACAGTGAATTCAAAGCTTCCACCCCCCTCTCTCTCTCCTCTCTCTCTTTCTCTCTCCCGAACGAAACTGACGAAGAATTCTTTCAACGAGAAAGAAAAAGACTTAGAAGTTTCCAGTTTTATTTTAACAGTTTCTACAATAAAGGAGGTTTTTATATATTTTTATAAATATCGTGAAATACCGGTATCTGATTTTCATATCGCGATATATTATCGTGGTGGATAATACCGCAATATACCGATATACCGGTAATATTGCACACCCCTAAATTCAAACTACCATACATGTTATCATCCACATTGGGGCCTAACTAAAATATGCCTATCAAAGAACACCACATATATTTGAGAAAATCTAAATATTTTTGTCTTACGGGGGAGGGTGTTAACGAACAGTATAATCAAGGTCAAAAGTCTCCTGAAACAATATAATTCAGGAGCAGAGAAAATAAAACCTTCAGAGGTGGGATCAGGTACCATAGAAGAGTAAGCATCCTCTGTCAATCAGTCACATCAACCCTGTGCTCCTTATCTTGACTGGGTAAACAGAAATCGGTGTGAAAATAATATCTTAGGCAAAAAATAAAATTAGCTTTGTTTGGCCTTGCCGGCCAACTCCGGTAAATTGGTGCGGTCCCAAGAATTTTTTTCAACTGAAACAGATCGTAATTTTTTTTTTTTTTGGTTATATTTATCCGGATTTAGGTGTCTGTACTTTTGAGTAATATACAAAATGGGAAAGAATCATGTAAACGCTTGATTGATTGAACTGTTTTCATTTAAAAGCATATATGTGATGTTGAATATGCGTATCACAAATTCAAGCATGGCTGTTGAGAGCGGTAATGTAAACTCGTATAAGTACCGGTATTCATAACAGAAGTTGATAGCATGACTCTCCGCGGTAATGTGTTTTAAAATGGCAAAAATATACTGACAAATCAGTTATACCAGTTTGAAATAGAAATTTCAAGGTACAATGTCCTGTCCGATTTGCTAGATGAATCTAGTGGCCATGCTTGAATTTGTTCATATGAAAACAACTTTATGCCCATTCAATGTCGGTGATTTTTTATACCATATAATTATTAAAGGTTGAAAAATAATAGGGTTTGAAAATATCTAAGAACTGGGGATCGATTTGGACTGCAGATGTTGTTAATTACAATCGGAAACCCATGATGCCTGGATACTAATATTTCTGAAAATGCAAAAAAAAATATATACATGTATATATTTTCCCTACCTACTGACCTAAACATATTGAGACTGAGTCGGCAACGCCAAACCAACAATATTTTGTGGCCTTAACAACTTCAATCAATAGTCAACAGATGATATATTGTATTTGCTGACAAGGTTATTGTGTTGACCATAGAAATGGTGATGCTAATTAAACTAGACTTTTGATATCCTTGTTTACTCAACTCATTTGTCAATAGCTTGCCTCAATAAGAAATTGTATGTATAGCAAGTTTTTGTGTATCAAATCAACTTTTAGACATAAAAAACTCCATAAATTAAATACTCCCTCTTATTGTTCCTTGTATTCTGTTTTTATACATACTGTATACAAGCAATGTCATTCCTCAGTTCTATATCTGCCTTTTTGGATTCAGTATCATAAGTCAGTAACTGTTGTATTTCTGCTTTCAATTACAAATAAAAGGTTTCACCTTTAATAAACTTAAGCACCGGGTAAGATTTCATTTTGTCTTAATCTTGTTAACTCTAGTTCAGCTTTATTCCTAAGATAAAGTGAAATATTCACACTATTACCAGAATGGACAGGAAAAGGGATAAAGGATAGCAAAACTTTTGATTTATCATATCAATGTACAAGTGTTATGGAACTGATTTTTGACAGCATTATAAACCCTTAGCTTAATACTGAAGCAACTGTATGGATTTTCTTTGCAAAAAATGGTGACAAAAAGTAATCTTAAGGATTTGTGAACTTTTCGTCTTTCCTTTTCCGGTTTAATGATTTTTTTCTTTGTCTTGCACGTTTTTCATGTAAACTGAAAAACCTTTCAAAATTCCCTGCTCAGTAGCAGACTCAATTTAAACTAATCATGATAAAATAATTAAGACAAAGTTTGCACAGGCTAATAAGAGTTAATGTCAAATTAGAAATGGCTGATTATCACAAAGAATTTAATCAATGAATGGGTTTATTGCAATTATGTCAATGAAATTCTACAACATTCCACAGTAAATATTTAACCAGGCATCAATTTACTAATTAATGTCAAAAAATTAAAGTATATTCATACACGTGAGGAGTTGAGATTATGTGTATATATGCCTGCTTATATGCAGCTCATAAAATAATCAATGCATAGGCCATAGAGGTATTGTTTTTTTTAGATAAAGTTACTATGGAAGAAAAACATGTATACTTGAGCAAATATGAATTCATCCTCACTAATTGGCATTTTTGCTTTGTCATACAGAAATAAAATGCCAAAACCAATATTAAGATTTTCTGAGCAGTCACTTCGAAATCATTAACAGCATCTTGAACTGTCACAAAATCTTTATATTAATGTTCTAATGAAATGTTATGCTGGTGACTTTGCTGTCAATGACCTCTTGAATAACTCAGAGCATTAATTGTGGTAGATCCACATGGCTTTACTTTTTTTCATCATGCAAAATACTTATCATTGTCCATTTCTTTCTTGAACAAATGATATTGAAAAAAATTCCCCTTTCTAACAATGCTAACATGCAGCATGTGAAAGCATCATTTGTCACAAATTGGTCTTCAAACGAGAATAAAAAGAGGCCCATGGACCTTGACAGTCACCTGGCTACCACAGGTTTCTCTGGCTAAAACCTAAATGGAACTGGATCTCCGGACTCATGATAATTCATGCAACCAGCTTGCCTGCTAAATGTTCATGAGTAATCTAAAAGAGTTTCAGAGATGTTACATATCTTCAATATATGCCCAATTTTTACTAAGCTTTGGGTCTGAATCCTAAGCCAATGACTTGATTTCTACAATGAAGGTAGGTAACGTATAGCATAATAAGTGTAAATTAGGCCAATTATGTGTATATTTTAGAAATTTTAATGTGTTTTCAATATATGGGCAACTTGATGTCCTATAAAACCCAAAGGCTTGAAAATACCTGTAGATTTGGCCCAGTGAGACAGTATTGGACTGTCTGGTTCAGTGGTACATTAAGATACCTGGAGATATGGCCCTGTGAGACAGTATTGGGCTGTCTGGTTCAGTGGTACATTTACATACCTGGAGATATGGCCCAGTAAGACAATATTGGGCTGTCTGGTTTAGTGGCACATTTACAAACCTGGAGATATGGCCCGGTGAGACAGTATTGGGCTGTCTGGTTCAGTGGTACATTAAGATACCTGGAGATATGGCCCTGTGAGACAGTATTGGGCTGTCTGGTTCAGTGGTTCATTTATATACCTGGAGATATGGCCCGGTGAGACAGTATTGGGCTGTCTGGCTCAGTGGGGGCCTATTGAGACAGTATTGGGCCGCCTGGTTCAGTGGTACATTTACAAACCTGGAGATATGGCCTGGTGAGACAGTATTGGGCTGTCTGGTTCAGTGGGGGCCTAGTGAGACAGTATTGGACTGTCTGGCTCAGTGGTTTATTTACATACCTGGAGATATGGCCCTGAGACAGTATCGGGCTGTCTGGCTCAGTGGTTTATTTACATACCTGGAGAGATGGCCCGGTGAGACAGTATTGGACTGTCTGGCTCAGTGGGGGCCTAGTGAGACAGTATTGGGCCGTCTGGTTCAGTGGTACTTTTATAAACCTGGAGATATGGCCCGGTGAGACAGTATTGGGCTGTCTGGTTTAGTGGGGGCCTAGTGAGACAGTATTGGACTGTCTGGCTCAGTGGTTTATTTACATACCTGGAGATATGGCCCTGTGAGACAGTATCGGGCTGTCTGGCTCAGTGGTTTATTTACATACCTGGAGATATGGCCCGGTGAGACAGTATTGGACTGTCTGGCTCAGTGGGGGCCTAGTGAGACAGTATTGGGCCGTCTGGTTCAGTGGTACATTTACAAACCTGGAGATATGGCCCGGTGAGACAGAATTGGGCTGTCTGGTTTAGTGGGGGCCTAGTGAGACAGTATTGGACTGTCTGGCTCAGTGGTTTATTTACATACCTGGAGATATGGCCCTGTGAGACAGTATCGGGCTGTCTGGCTCAGTGGTTTATTTACATACCTGGAGAGATGGCCCGGTGAGACAGTATTGGACTGTCTGGCTCACTGGGGGCCTAGTGAGACAGTATTGGACTGTCTGGCTCAGTGGTTTATTTACATACCTGGATATATGGCCCTGTGAGACAGTATTGGGCTGTCTGGCTCAGTGGTTTATTTACATACCTGGAGATATGGCCCGGTGAGACAGTATTGGGCTGTCTGGCTCAGTGGTTTATTTACATACCTGGAGAGATGGCCCGGTGAGACAGTATTGGGCTGTCTGGTTCAGTGGGGGCCTAGTGAGACAGTATTGGACTGCCTGGCTCAGTGGGGGCCTAGTGAGACAGTATTGGACTGTCTGGCTCAGTGGTTTATTTACATACCTGGAGATATGGCCCTGTGAGGTTTATTTACATACCTGGAGAGATGGCCCGGTGAGACAGAACTGGGCTGTCTGGTTCAGTGGTTTATTAAGATACCTGGAGATATGGCCCTGTGAGACAGTATCGGGCTGTCTGGCTCAGTGGTTTATTTACATACCTGGAGAGATGGCCCGGTGAGACAGTATTGGACTGTCTGGCTCAGTGGGGGCCTAGTGAGACAGTATTGGACTGTCTGGCTCAGTGGTTTATTTACATACCTGGAGATATGGCCCTGTGAGACAGTATTGGGCTGTCTGGCTCAGTGGTTTATTTACATACCTGGAGATATGGCCTGGTGAGACAGTATTGGGCTGTCTGGCTCAGTGGTATATTTACATACCTGGAGAGATGGCCCGGTGAGACAGTATTGGGCTGTCTGGCTCAGTGGTTTATTTACATACCTGGAGATATGGCCCGGTGAGACAGTATTGGGCTGTCTGGCTCAGGAGAAGATGGAGGAGTCAGAGTACTGGAACCAGATCCCATCCTTCCAACTTTACACTGTCATTTTATGAACACTGCAAAATTATACAATTTTTTTAAAGATCTATCACCAGAATGAAATAGGTCATACCAATTATAATGTATATAATTCCAATCAAAGAAAGCATTTTTATAGTTTAAATTGAATTTAAAAAAGGTAATTTCAAGCTTTTTTTCTTACTAGATCCCCATTCAAAACCTTTTTTTCAGTGAAGTTATTTTTTAAACTGCATTAAATTGACAAAGTGATTAAAGATTACCTGTATCTTATAAAGAATGAATCCATTTTGTTGAATAAAAATTGCATCTTAATTAATACATTAACAGATCCTGTTTATTGTTATCTGAAATCTAATATGTGACTAATTTATATAATATGCTGCATGTTTGAAAAAATCATACCAAAGTGTCATTTACATTGATTTTTCCTCCTATTCCATGCTTATTTAAGTTGCTAGGGTATATATTATTAATCATTACTAGATAGATCACATTCCCGATTATAAAGGGGGTGATTGGTGTCAAGTCATAAATATAGATATACATGCACAGCTTTTCTGATCATTGTAATGTTATCACAGTTTGTCATACAAGTGTGAAAATCAAACATTTCAGATACGTCTTCTAAATACCCACACATATATAATGATGTTTGTGTAAACTAGCGCCAAAAATAGAAAACAGTGGGAAGTCATTTAGATCAACACCAAACTGCCCAAACATGCAAAACAATGTCCACTTATAGAGGAATAGGAGCCCTAGCAAGTTTTATATATTATAAATACACAATAAGCGAGAGCAAAAGCTTTTAAGGCAGCTTAATTCAACAAGAGGCTATGGACAATCAAATATCCTCAGTACATATTAATTATAAAAAATTTTAGAATGCAATACAATGCTTTCTATGGAATTTCAATTCGATGAGGATGAAGTCTACAGGAGGCCACAGGGCTACAATGCTCATCTGAGTCACCTGGCTCAGATGATTGCCATCAGCAGATTTCCCCCCTATACACATGTACATACCTATCTATGTACAATTTTAATCACATTTTGTAACCCAGCCCTTAACACACTGGGACAAAGATTTTTAAATTAAGAAAAAAAATTGAATCAAAACTAAAAGAGAATGGGATCTTTCTTGGGGATGCCTCTGAATTAACCAAATAATGGCTTTGTTGTTAATTGAAGTTACTGCTCATGTTTAACTTTTATCTCCTGCTACTACCTCACCCCATCCATAATTTTAACTTAAATGAAATTATTACTACATACACTATAATATGTGATGAAGCTTTCACGTAAGATAAACTTTTCTGGCCCAGTGGCCAGGTGTTTTTTGGGGAAAAAAAACAAAATTGAGAGATGCCATTCAATTTCCAATCATTCTTTATTGTCTTTCCATCTTACCATCTTTTCTTGACTATCTTCTCTTGGAATTTTACTTGCTCCTTCATTTGAACAAATAAATCCCTATTACTGAAGGATGCATTTTACCAACTTAAATAAAAGTTAAAAGAGCTAAAACTTAAACTGAACATGTAAATTTTTTATAATTTATAGTACCCTATTACATGTGCAACTTCCATCCAGTCTAAAAATGTCTTTAAATATTAAATATCATCTATTTTATGCATATAAAATCGATGACTTTATTTTACGGGAAAAGGTATTAATTTTTGGTCGGGATCGGCCTGCAGATTTGGGTATTATATAAGTCGGAAAGCTCAGGATCAACATTCTTTTCATCAACTTGCTGGATACAGAGTAGGTTGAATAATAAATAATTTCTTTGTCAAGTTTTTTTTCATAATAATTATTTGTAAGAATTTTTTTTTTATCGGTCTTAAATATATAATGCTCACTTCAAGAATGCATATAGTGTCCTATAATTTCTTTCAAGTTACCTCAAAGTTCTAATTACAAAATTTTTTATCTTCTTCCAAATGTCAAAATAAAGAGCAAATTATCAGAAATTCACAATTCATTTAGGATTTGAAGGAATATTAACTAAGGTATACAATGTCATGATCAAAGCTAAAAGGTAGCATGCAAAAGAAGTTTACATTATTTGTAGCTTTGGGGGGAAAAATCTTATGTTGTTCATTGTGTGATGTACAGTGTAAAAATCAACACCCTTTGAATGGGAAATGGTTTGTCAGATAAATTGTTATTGCATTTGGGGGCCCGTCTTTGATCACAAGCAATTCCATAGAAGAAATAAAGCATATACCCCTTTACGAAAGAACCTTGATGTACCGTGCACACACCTGCAGGATATTTCAAGTAAGGATAGACAGTGAAATTGTTTATTTGCTGTCTCTCTTTGCCTTTCACTCTGGAAATCTAAGTGGCTTTGAGATACTGCAGTTGTAATTACATCGAATGAAAGCTAGTACATGTATACCATTTTGTAAATTTTTTTTAAAGTGGCAACATTCCCAATTGACTATATCTGATACATGAGTGTATAAAGAAAACCTAGATGAAATTACATAGTCAGGATTTCAAAAAAACTTCAAAATAATAATATGAAAATATTTTGACAGCCTTTAAGAATTATTATTTTTCAAGATTACCTTTACTCCATATACATAAAAGAAACTTGATCCGAAGTCATATCACGTCAAGTTAACGTGTGTGGATCATCAGATCAAACGAGATGTAGATCAAGTGAATGTTATATTGATAAATTTATTATATACCCCTCTATAATTATCAAGTTTAATATAACAAAACATTTGTGTGCAATTATGTATCTTTAGTCCATAAAACAAAGCACTTTTTCAAGGAACTTTTTGCAATGCAAGAAAAAAAAACGTCATGTTTCTGCATATTATGTCATCAGTTTCAGAGAGAGGTGATATAGATTCAGCAAACCAGTGTGGTGATCCGAAAAGTCGGAACGTGACGTCACATGATTGCATAAGTTCAACATTAAAATTGTCACACAGTTGGGTATATCATAAATATCAATACTACGAAAAAGTTCTTAGAAAACTAATTCCTTCTCGTCATTCTGTTTTTTAAACATGCAGATGGTATTAAAACATTACCTAGATTTTATAATGTCATGCCTCTAATAAGTCATGATAAGCAAGACTGCATGTACTACTTTTTCAGCTGTAGTGTCACCATGGACTACAATTTAAGGAAGATTAAGAGGTACCTTGCACCAAAAACTCACTTAAATAATTACCAACTTGTGTGTTGGCGAAATTAAGTTCGTGACTTATATATTAATTTGTTTGAAAAATTCTCAGTAGTATAAAACAATATGGTATAATATTGTATAATATATGACACAAATTTTAAAATCTTAAACTGGGGAAACAATCTTCGTCCTCCATGGTTGCATGTAAGCATGCAGGAGAAGAGGCAGAATGACAATCCGCAGGGCCAAAAATTTTAATCGTTAGATTTAATCGTTAAGATTTTATTTGATCAAACTCTCCCTCTCTTAGGACATGAAAGAACATAATTATTATCATGCATCCATGACTTAAATTGCAGGATTTCAGACTTCAGCATTACAGTGTACATGCAGTCTTACAAAATAATTATTTATAGAATTTAAAAAAAAAAAATGCTTATAGGCCTAAGACGAAAATGTTTTATGGTTATTTGACTTAAGTCCTAGTAATTTTTACACTGACTCAACTTCTATTTTTTCTGGCTATCATGGGAAAATACTTAAATATGAAAATGGTCTGAATGTTCCAATGAAGACAATAATTGTGTAATAGTGAGTGTAATATGTACTTGAGGAAGGAATAAAACCTGTTTAACTGTTGTCTTGTGTACTAGATGGTGATAAAATTATAAATTTGCTGAAGGAAATAGTTTTATTAATTAAACCAAACATTCTGTACTGTCTTGTACTTCCGCAGCTTTGATGTAAAAAAAAAAAAAATAATAATCTTATATTCTGACCCATCTTTAATTGGCATGTAATATAAACTGTCTCAATCCATGGTCCATAAAATAATTGACTTTTTTTTTTACCTACAGTCAATTACTAAAAATTATTCAGCAGTCAATTTAAACTATACGTCCCTTATCATAACATAGGATTAAAATTGTCTGCGACAATCATTTAATACACAAACTTGCAAAGGCAAGTCAAAAGAAATTTCTTTAAGAAAATTTAATTTAAAATGAAATTCACAAAATATTTTTATGTAAAACCTAAAACAGAAAAAAAAATAATAACCTTATATCCAAACAGAATAAAAAATTACCTGTACCACTGGAACATGAATCTTATCCACCAAAATGAATCTTTTTTTCCAAAAGATCAACAGAAAAAAAAATAAATATGTTTCAGCAACAGAGAAAACAAATCCTTTTTCTGTTTTCTGCTAAGGGGCTCAGTTAAAATGACACCAGCAGTTAGTTAACTGGGTTCCACTGGCTTCATCAGACTCCTCTGCAGGGTCTAATGGTTTAAAGTCTCAAACAGGAGGTGTCTCTCCACAAATTCAGACTCCAAATCCTGCAATCAAATGACAAGATGGCTTATATAAAGCTCCCCTGCAAAATCACACAACAAACTGACAGTCTTGTATCAGCACTGGTCCTTTATAATGTAAAAATCAATGAGTTGTATATATACTGGAGCAGGAGATCACTGGCAGCTCCTCACTGCTTTATTACCACTATACATATGTCTGTCTTTTGTTACACTAAATGTATCTCCTCAATGCTGACTTGTGGAGGTCTCTCTTGTATCATCACTCGTTATAAATAAGATCACAGTTTTCAAGAATGTGACTACAAATAATTGATTTGCCATGTGTATAACATCATTGAAATAGTAAAGAATCTTCTATTTATTCTGAGACATCATTTCGCTCTAGATTATCAAATTTTAATTCTCACATTTTCATTTATCTTAATATGTTTAATTTACTTTTTCACACATTGAAATAAATTAATATTAACACTTGTTAATTTTATGACGATTGTTTTCAGGCCTTGAAAGCATTGTGCTGAAAATCACATTTAATAGAGTCATGCAGTTCAATGCTCTGACTTATGTCCTTGCAAGTATTTTGGTTGAATAAGACACTTTTTGAAGATAATTAATGCATATGCATTCTCAAACTTAATGCTATAATCTCATCAAGGGGTATGAATCCTGCATCAAGAAGACACAAAGGAATTTTAAAAACTAGAGGTAGAGGACTTATTTAACATATTAAGTTTGTCTCAAACACAAAAAAGTTCTTTAAAAATCAATCGATTTTTCATTAAGTTAAATTCTGAAAATTAAAATTGTTGCATTTTATGTAAACATGCAAACATTATATAGATCGAGCAATATCCTAGATGACACTTGACCCCAAGAACATGAATTTCAAAAGCCTGGTAGGGGCTGCTCAAGAGTTTTTACAATATGCCATTAGATTTCACAAAGAACTATATATAATGTATTGCATATCTTTGCCCCCACAAAAGTCAAATTTTGAAAAATTCTTGAAATGTGCTGAATTCTATAAATTGTATGAGAAATATAAATTAACAGAACATATTATAGTTTCAAAGTAGTTTATTGACAATTTTTGTTTTTATGACATCATTGCAAACATATGACATCATTGCTTATGAAAATATTCAGTGCTTTGAAGTCAGCATATAGCCCCCTGTTTAATAACATACTTAAATATTTCTCCGTCCAAGTTTGATTTGGGGGGCAAATATTGGTTGTTACCAAATCAAGTTCTTTAAAATGTTTCCATATATTTATACCTAAGGTTCCAAGAACTACCAAAAGTTTCTGATGAGAGTGCTATCTATAAATATAACTTCCCCATGGACATCATCTCACACCAAGTGTAATATAATTAGTGGAGTAAGTATAACTACAAACTCTGTTGCAGCTGTTGCAAAACTTATCAATTTGTAAAGTATAGATCAATATAACAACAAAATGTTCCATCTACTTTAAGATCAATACATATAGGCTCACACTGGGTGTGACTGGTCAACAAGGGGTACTCACTCCTCCTAGGCATCTGATCCCACTTCTAGAATTCTCATAAGTGCATGGTTATGCCCTGTTCAAATACATGAGACCGCCTGAGTTCTAGGAGTAACAAGGTAGTCATTTTTGCACTTACAACTTATTTTGAATCAATTCTTAATTCAAGTTCAAGTTCTGAAGTTTGTTCATTGAAATTCTTCATCACAGAAGGACAGTCTACAGGACCATCCAGTGGTACACAGATACCAATTCTCACTCTGACATGCCAAGATGTGTGAGGCCAAGATTTTCTACAGCAAGACAAGATAGAATTCTGATCTACCAGAACCAAACAAGAAAGATACAATTCCAATCCCGAAAAAACATCTTGGAATCAAAGTGGGCCCGGGTTGATGCTTCTCATTACACAATTTACCACAGACTACTTGAAGCTGGCCTTTCTGCTCAGATAGCAGATGAAACCAGAAGTCTCTGTCGAGACTGAAGCTCTACTGGTTTGTACTTAGAGCAAAGGAAGAGAAAAGTACTTAAGCAGTTGGGAATTGAAACTTTACAATAGCAATGAATAGAATAATGATCCTTGATAAAGTCTCTTTATGTTCTTAGTGTAGTCTACTTGTGTGCCAAGTTATACTGAAATCACACCAAAACTGTAGGAGGAGTAGCATTTTGAAACAATTTTACAGAAATTTCTATTTTTAGTAACCACGGCAACACCGTTCATCGAAATCAAAAACCAATAAATAGAATTATGTATCTTAGTGTAGTCTACTTGTGTGCCAAGTTATATTGAAATCACACCAAAACTGTAGGAGGAGTAGCATTTTGAAACAATTTTACAGAAATTTCTATTTTTAGTAACCACTGCAACACCTTTCATCGATATTGAAAACCGATAAACAGAATTATGTATCTTAGTGTAGTCTACTTGTGTGCCAAGTTATATTGAAATCACACCAAAACTGTAGGAGGAGTAGCATTTTGAAACAATTTTACAGAAATTTCTATTTTTAGTAACCACTGCAACACCTTTCATCGATATTGAAAACCGATACACAGAATTATGTATCTTAGTGTAGTCTACTTGTGTGCCAAGTTATATTGAAATCACACCAAAACTGTAGGAGGAGTAGCATTTTGAAAGAATTTTACAGAAATTTCTAATTTTAGTAACCATGGCAACACAGTTCATCGAAATCGAAAACCGATACAAAGAATTGTGTTTCTTAGTGTAGTCTACTTGTGTGCCAAGTTATATTGAAATCAGACTAAAACTGTAGGATGAGTAGCATTTTGAAAGAATTTCACAGAAATTTCTATTTTTAGTAACCACAGCAACACCGTTCATCGAAATCGAAAACCAATATACAGAATTATGTATCTTAGTGTAGTCTACTTGTGTGCCAAGTTATACTGAAATCAGACTAAAACTGTAGGAGGAGTAGCATTTTGAAAGAATTTCACAGAAATTTCTATTTTTAGTAACCACGGCAACACCGTTCATCGAAATCGAAAACCGATACACAGAATTATGTATCTTAGTGTAATCTACTTGTGTGCCAAATTATATTGAAATCAGACCAAAACTGTAGGAGGAGTAGCATTTTGAAACAATTTTACAGAAATTTCTATTTTTAGTAACCACGGCAACACCGTTCATCGAAATCGAAAACCGATACAGAGAATTATGTATCGTAGTGTAGTCTACTTGAGTGCCAAGTTATATTGAAATCACACCAAAACTGTGGGAGGAGTAGCATTTTGAAAGAATTTTACAGAAATTTCTATTTTTAGTAACCATGGCAACACCGTTTACCGAAATCGAAAATCAATATACAGAATTATGTATCTTAGTGTAGTCTACTTGTGTGCCAAGTTATATTGAAATCGGACCAAAACATTTTGAAAAATTGTTTACAGACAGACAGACAGACGGACAGACGGACGGACGCCGGACGCATTACTATTGCATAAGCTCTTCTGGTCTCTGACCAGTAGAGCTAAAAACCTCTTCTAAACAACATACATACATCACCAGAAGAGACTGGACTTTGCAGATGAGGATGCTTCCAATACATATGACCTATGAAGTCTTTGCTGTTCTTGAGAAGAAGATTTTTTAAGATTTTTCTTATGTTACAGTATTTCTATTAAAACTTTGAACAACCATTAAGGCCCCACCCTATCCCTGACAATCATGATTTGAACAAACTTGAATCTAACATACTACTTGAAGATGCCTTAATAAATAAATATGACCAAAAATATTTGGCTTTGCTGTTCATGAGAAGGTTTTCAAATATTTTCTCTATGTATTCCTATGTAAAATTGATTTCCCTTTGTGGCCCTACCCTACCCACAGGGGTCATGCTTTGTGAAGAGGATGAGCTTTTCAAAGATGAAATTAACTTTTCACTAATTTTTTATCTCCCCTTGAAGAAAGAAGAAGAGTGATCCTTCATTTGAATAAACATGAATCCCCTTTACCCAAGAATACATTGTGGCACTTTTAGTTTGGATTAAATTAACCCAGTGGTTCTTGAGAAAAGTCGAATCTGTGACAAGAGGCCCATGGGCCACATGGTGCATCTGAGCAATGTGGCTATGAAAATAGCAAAAATCAGTTCAGTATTGAGCTACAAATTTTGTCTTATACTCGGCACTCAGGGCCATTGAGCAGTGAGGGATCTTTTACGTGCCAGCACCTACTGCGAGTCTGGACCTCGGTTAATACAGTCTCATCCAAAGGACTTAAATCTCCACGTCCTACAGTGGGGATCGAACCTTCGATGTAAGGATCAACTCCTTACTTCGCAACTCTAGAGCAGACACTCTAACCACTGTGCCACACATGCGACTAAGAAGGGGGGGGGGGGGGGGCTTTATTTAAACAAACTTGAATCTACACTTCGTAAGGATTGCTTACATATTTAACTGACCAACTGTGGAATTTTCCCTGTAGATTTGAACTTTCCTTGTGGTCCCATCCTACCCCAAGGGGTCATAATTTGAATAAATCTGAATCTAAATGCTACTTCATCTTGAGGGTTCTTCCATGTTAATATGACCAATCATCCATGGTTTCTTACGCAGAGTGTATATGGTGCGGATCTAAGGAGTCTGACTTCAATTAGATTGAGGTCAGACACAAAGCTGGTATATTGGTCTTTGTAATGTAGAATGTCATGGTTAACTACTGTTACAGTGACAAGCACATCAAGTATAAAGAACCGTAACTCTCAAAATACTCTAATGGAAAGTTTAAATGTACAAGCAAAAGAAAAAAGTTTTAGCAAGTTGATCCTTTTGATTCATGGATTATATATTGATAAACATAAAGTAAGTAGTACTGCAGTTTACTAAAATGTGTACAATTTCTTTAATCAAATGCCACCTTTTTCACATATTTTGCATATAAGTTACCTCTCATATTAGCCTCTGTTGGCCTTTGAAGAACATTTAAAAAGGTAAGTTATTTTTGTCTCATTTTTATTCATCTATTATTTATAAGTCTACCCATCATTTAAACTATGAAGTACTTTTTTGTGTTAAACAATAAATGTTCTTGCATAAATCTCTTATTCTATTAACCTTTTAAATACATTATTTACAGTTATCAATTACTGTGTGTTGTTTTATTTCCACAGTGTTAAAATTTCACAATTTCTCAAAAAATACCAATTCTGATTGTTTTAATTTCACGATACAAGAAATTAATTCTAAGTTCGTATAAGCATTAAAACGGCTTTCATAAAACTAATGTTAGAATTCATGATGGGTTTAATTTCACGGAAAACTGATAAATCGCAAACTTTATGAAATTAAAACCATTGCGATTATTTGCCAATCTACAGTATCAAAGGTGAATGGCAAAGGGGAATAACTTTGCTCAGTAGAATACAAATAAATAAAGCCAAGACCAGATTACTTGACTTAATGCTCCAGATGTTCAAAATTCTGCTTATCATAACCATGCACTTCCTTTGTTTAAATGATAAGCAGGGGCAGAGATGCATTTTCACTCCATAACCAATAGAGCCCCACCCTTAAACACCAGAACCCCTGGCCCAGGCACCATGAAATTCACAATAGTGGAAGAGGCAGCTATGCTCAACATAACTATGTACCAGAACCCCTGGCCCAGGGACCATGAAATTCACAACAGTGGAAGAGGCAGCTATGCTCAACATAACTATGTACCAGAACCCCTGGCCCAGGGACCATGAAATTCACAATAGTGGAAGAGGCAGCTATGCTCAACATAATTATGTACATGTATTTAGTTATTTTATTGATACCAAGAAGCAAAGAACAAGATTTTCAAAGAATTTAATGTATTTCTACAATATAATCAAAAGAGATTAACCCTTGCACTTGAACCCCTGATCCTGGGGCCATGAAATTCACAATTCTGGAAGAGGCACTCGATCTTGCTCATCATAACTTTGGTATCTTGAACTCTGATATCTAGAATACCATGGATATGAGTATGATGTGGAAGTCCCAAACACATACTCTTAAAGTATTTTACCCTCTATATCTCAAATCCAGAAGCTTTGTTCTCAGCTCTGTCCAGTTCCAGATTGCAAAGTTTGACTACTTAGTTGTTTATTACCCAGGAGCAGAGCTAGGAGAAGATTTTTCAAAGACATAATGCACTTTCACTATATGACATATATAACTCACACCCAAGAACCAGAACGCTCTGACCCTGGGGCCATGAACTTCAAAAATTTGGTAGAGGGCTCAATATAATGTTCATTGTTATACCCTTATAAATAGCTTTCTATATATCTATTACTAATAAAAAGTCCAACAAAAGAAATGTTTATTACATCGGTCTAACAATTTCACTGTTGACCGGCCTGCCAGTCCAACATAAGAATTGTTAGACCGCAACCTCACTGCTACATCACAAGTTATTTTAAAATCATAGTTCAATATCGGCGACATGGAAATAGGCGAAGTTAAGAGCTACAAGAGTGGTTGCTACCAGCAAGGTAAGGAAGAAGGGAAGAGTTTTGTGATAAATAATTTTTGTAATATAATAAACCAGAAGTCTCTGTCGAGACTGTAGCTCTACTGGTTTATACTTAAAACAAAGGAAGAGAAAAGTAGCAGTTGGGACTTGAGACTTTAAATCAGCAATAAATAGAAAAATGATCCTTGCCACTCATCAAAATAAAAACCAATGCACAGAATTATGTATCTTAGTATAGTCTACTTGTGTGCCAAGTTATACTGAAATCAGACCAAAACTGCAGGAGGAGTAGCATTTTGAAAGAATTTCACAGAAATTTCTATTTTTAGTAACCATGGCAACATTGTTCATTGAAATCAAAAACCGATGCACAGAATTATGTATCTTAGTGTAGCCTACTTGTATGCCAAGTTATATCAAAATCAGACCAAAACTGTAGGAGGAGTAGCATTTTGAAAGAATTTCACAGAAATTTCTATTTTTAGTAACCACTGCAACACCGTTTATCGAAATCAAAAACCGATGCACAGAATTATGTATCTTAGTGTAGTCTACTTGTGTGCCAAGTTATACTGAAATCGGACCAAATCTGTAGGAGGAGTAGCATTTTGAAAGAATTTCAAAGAAATTTCTATTTTTAGTAACCAAGGCAACACTGTTCAGCGAAATCAAAAACCGATATATATAATTATGTATCTTAGTGTAGTCTACTTGTGTGCCAAGTTATAATGAAATTGGAACAAAACTGTAGGAGGAGTAGCATTTGGAAAGAATTTCACAGAAATTTCTATTTTTAGTAACCACAGCAACACCGTTTATTGAAATCAAAAACCGATTCACAGAATTATGTATCTTAGTGTAGTCTACTTGTGTGCCAAGTTATATTGAAATCAGACCAAATCTGTAGGAGGAGTAGCATTTTGAAAGAATTTCAAAGAAATTTCTATTTTTAGTAACCACGGCAACACCGTTCATCGAAATCAAAAACCGATGCACAGAATTATGTATCTTAGTGTAGTCTACTTTTGTGCCAAGTTATATTGAAATCAGACCAAAACTGTAGGAGGAGTAGCATTTTGAAAGAATTTCACAGAAATTTCTATTTTTAGTAACCACGGCAACATTGTTCATCGAAATCAAAAACCGATGCACAAAATTATGTATCTTAGTGTAGTCTACTTGTGTGCCAAGTTATATTGAAATCAGACCAAAACTGTAGGAGGAGTAGCATTTTGAAAAATTGTTTACAGACAGACAGACAGACAGACGGACAGACAGACAGACGGACGGACGATGGACGCATTACTATCGCATAAGCTCTTCTGGTCTCTGACCAGTAGAGCTAAAAATATAATTAATTTTGTTCTTTCTCAGCTATTGTTTTACTCATGAGTATATTTACTGATTAAGCCATAATTTTCCATATAAAGTCATTGATAATATAGTGTGTATTGATTTTTAAAAAAATCTTAAGTGAGCACTGAAGGGTCTAACAAAACAGTTATAGACTGGGATTCAGGCAACATATGATTTGTTGGACCTGAAGGCAAAAATGTTGCGCAAGGCCGTCTGAAAAGTCTAACATCCACTGATATTGTCTTTTTTTTGTTACAATTTTCTGCGTTAAAAATGATGCCTTTACATTAATTCGGTTATTCTCGAGTTATACAGTGCATCCTGACAATCATGTAATTATGATAAACTAGCATCGATGATGCAATGTATCCAATATATAAATATCTGTCCCACCTGTCTGTTTACGTGGCAACAGCACCCCTCCTCAACGAAAGAGCGCACCAAGTTAGATAATCTCGAAACTTGCGTATTGGCTTACAATTTCTCTTGGTAATACTATGGTATGTCCATTTAACAATTTTTCACCTTGAAGAAAAACCTGTAACTTACTGCTGAACAAAAATCAGAGACAATGCTATGAGAAGAAATGTTAACATTGTCGCCTTGGGAAAACAATTAGTGGACTGTACCCATATATGGTACTAAAAATGCTTACTTTTTGCATGTGTTCATGCACACAACCCCTCATATTCTTGCAATGAAATAAATATGACATTGACCTTAAAAAAATTGATATAAAAAATAAACTATAACATCATATTTACTCCTCCATGTAAATGTTAATCCTTAAATATAGAATCTGGTTGCATCATATCTGATATTTCTACGATCTCATTGACAACTTGTGACCAACTAAATCCGACATTTTAAGTTCAAAGCGTGAATTACTTATTAAGCTTGTTTACCTATTTTCCAGGATTTAGCTTTTAAAGTAATCTTGACCTTTATAAAACCTGAATGATTAACAACAAAGGCTATATTTGTTTCTTATTATATAAAAACAGACCCAATTTACAGGCTAAATACTAAGAAATACGTGAGTCACATTAAAATGAATTTTAATGAAAATACTAATTGGCAATAAGGACCTGTGTCTATGCACAATTACATAAAGATTTCCTAAAAAAAAAAAATGAGAGTACAACATGTATTTTATATAAAGACATATTGATATATAAGTATATATAAGTATATTGTCAAATTACCCCATCTCCATCAATAACCTAACTCTGTCACTTTTGGGAAATTCTGTGCTGTTTGTAAAAAAAGTGATAATTGTGACATCATTTTTTGAAGTGACAGACGGCAGCAAACCAAGGAAGAAATTAGAATTTTAATACAAATCTGTGACACTAACTTCAATTTAAATTGAAGAAATTGGTCCGCCATTTGCAAAAGAAATATAGGAATGTCCTTCTAATCATGTAAGAAGATACATCAATTTGTGTATTAAAAATATTTTTTTTTAAATTAGCGACTATCAATATTAAAATTTTCTATTGATTTTGACAGTTGCCAATGTGCTGCCTTCAGCGATGATTTTTCAATAGTTGGCATCTATCGTTACAACACTAACATTTTATGAGTGTAATTGAGAGATTATGCATTAAATTGAGTAAAAATAATTAATTATCCCCCTTACCTCTTTCTTTAAACATTTAGAATCACTGCTATATATTTCTTATGAAAAAAAATTCTGGAAATGATACACATTTATAGATACCATGTCATTTCTTCCTTCTAGCTGGTTTCAATCTTAACCCTTTAGTCTATAGCATTTATTCGCAATTACATTCCTATTTATCTAAAACAAACACTTGTATAAATTTCCTTGTGTATGCATTGCAATACACCAACACATGACTTTACCTTGAACTAGAATACCTGAATTCTTCCTTGACTAGTGAATTTAATCACATAATGTAATGCTATATATATATCTGTTAAATTCTTCATTTAAAGAACAGCAGGGTAATGATTATCAATCTTATTAATATGCAAGCATGCATCTTTATGTTCGAAATTCAGATCATGACCTCTGTCATAGGATGGGGGTGACCAAGGATATCATGGGGACCAGAGTTTTACAAGGTCATATATCACTTAAAAAAAACTTTCAAGTTTACCAGTATTTTCAAAATAAATCTTACAAATATATCAGCCAGTCAAAAAAAGGGCTTTCCCTAGGATATCAAGTTGAATGTAAACTTCCGCCCCAGCCCCTTTAGCGATTTCTCAGATTGTTGAAGCAGTAGATCAAGTTTGACAAAGATTTTTCACTATTTGCACATAATTGTGATAATGGTGATGCTACCTTATGGTTGCACTGTCCGTTAGTTGGGACCTCCAAAAACTGACAGCAGAATGGATATGGATGCAGCGAATTTATTTAACGCAATTTCAGACAAAAATACGTTGATGTGACCGTCCTAGAAAAAATCAAGATGGCGTCGATGTTTACCTTATCTATTATTAGGTGTGCAGTTATTTTTCATATATAAGAAAAATAAATGTCAGGTGCCTGTGCCACTGCAGTGGTGCGTGAAAAACTATATGCATGGATGGCATTGTAATTCGGCCTTGCATATTTGTCTTTTGTACTTTTTACGAGGGCTGTTCAAAAATTACACGGACTGTGCTATTATTTAATCTTACAGACGTCATATAGTTATGAAATTTCACAGAAATATATATCTTAAAGATTCCAATAAATTTTGGGAAATTTCTGTAATTTAAAAAAATTCTACTAAAATTATCGGTATGTTGACATCGCTGATGGAGAGGTACGGAGCACAACAAAAAAATTGAAGCAAAAGCATGGGAAATCCAAAATTAAACTCATTAATTTTCTGTAATTTGCGATATTTTTCAACAATTTTCTCAAATGTATCTTTAAATTGTTCTGTTATCATGTATTTAGATTTCTGACATATATTTGAAGTACTAACAGAAATATAGTGATTTTTCTCTGACGCGATTCCCGTCAAAACGACTGTGAAAATGACGTCTTCTGAATTGACGGCGCACCACACTTTTGTTGAATTATGTGTAATGCTCGAGAAGTCGCCAACATAAATCTAAAATATGCATAATAAAACATGTAGTAAACTAGGGTATTTGTGACATCCGTCCACAAATAGCAAATTGAAATTTTAGACCGTTAGACCTCTGTAAAAAGGCTATACGGGAGGACGGGAAGAAGATTATCGACGAAAACTTTATACGTACTGTAAAGAGCGTGATTGAGAGTCACCAATATCACAATATAGCTCATAAATACCTGCAGTTTTTGGTTTTAAAACAAAAAAGAATATTCTTTTCTTGTTAAATAGATTTTAAGCTTGACAAGAAATGATGCTTGGATGTTGAGTAGATAAGGTAACTCAAACTGTATAGGTACTCTTGGGAAAATGTTGAGAAAATGAAAGCTCAATCACAGATATTTTTTTATAATGCCTGTGACGTTGAAGATTTTGCTGCTCCGTGACTCAATGACATGTCCTGAAAAATCACTCAAAATTGAAACCAATTTACAACATTTTGATATGAAATTTTGAAGACCATATAAGTAAAGATTCTTTTATATTATGTGTGACATTTTGCCCGATTTTGTCGTCAAATATTTTTCTGTGCAACAAGTCCGCGTAATTTTTGAACACCCCTCGTATTTGCAACATTTTTCTCTCATAGGTATATTATCTAATCCAAAAAATATCTCAAAATTTACCCTCTGCTTATGTGATGCAGTCTATGTTAGAGCCAGCTACCTCAGACTTGTTGAAATCCGATGGTTCCGTTGTCAAGGCCGGTAAAAATTTGTCTGGAATGATAAGATGCACAGCTGAAGGTCACAAACACAGAAAAGAAGGTGTGTTGAGGATGGTCAATTTAATTGTCATAGCAAAGTCATAAAACATGTCATTTATGTCTCTTATTAAAAACTCTCTATCCCAAGAAAGGAAACTTGTAAGATTGAAGGCTGTTGTAAATAACAAAGGGCATTTTGATGCTGTTATTCATATTCCTTTCCTAGTGTCAAATAAGGTTCATGCATGCTTCCCCCCCCCCCCCAATAATTTTGCCAATACAACATGTATATAGTCTAAGAATACTACAGAAAACTTAGCTTAGTACTATATGGTTGTGCCCCCTCAATGAAAACGTCTGATGACTTTTTTTTAGTTGATGAAACTGAAATGCTGCTTGGCTGTGCCCCTCCCCCCAAACTGAAATTGCTTCCTACAGGCTTGACATGTATCTGATCTGCCAAAGCTTTGACTGGTTCAACTGAACATTTGATTTTATCAGACCTGATGTCTGACACTGATTTAATAATTTTGACAAGTCTACTACCTTTTTTCCCAGATTTGTTGGTATACCAACACATCAAATGGACTGCTTTGGAAATTTTTTCATTGTCAATTCTCATGAAATTGAAATGCTGAAAAATAAAAATTTAATGCTTTAAGAAATTATACATTATTGGAAGTCACTCTTTAACAATGAAATATATGGAGATAACAAACAGTATTCAAGCTCAAAAGTCCATTAAACAATACAAAATTGGAGCAGAGCAAACAGACCTCCAAAACATCAAAGGTGGGATCAGGTTCCATGGAGGAGCAAGCATCCCCTGCCGACAGTTACATCTGTTGAGTGCTCCTTGTCATGTTTAGGTCTGGAAATAACGGGAAATGCTGTTGACTATTTGGTGCGTGAATAATGGCTTTAAAACAATTTATATGAGAAAACATCAGTCAGCATTTGACTTAATGATAAATTGATTCTGACTAGGCCATTGTATCGACCATATTATTAATAACTTAAGAAATTATGACATTAAACAAGACTGCTGATATTCTTGTTTCAATTTGTTTGTCAATAATTTACTTCGTTTGAGAAATTGCTCATACGTTGAGCGCCATGCTCTTGCGTATTGAATCAACTGAGAGAAATAAACCCCATATGCAGGTGATGAATGTAGCAATGCTCACTGTCATAGGTGGCGCTGTGGTTCGTATATTTAAGCCATATGCATAACATGTCCGCGTTTTGTATATGTTTTTAATACCCATGTTTTCTCCCCTATTACTCCAAACATTTAAATGACAATGATTGCAACAGAAGCCCAAGGAACAAAACCGAGAGAAATCGAAAGATTTTCCGCGGAAATTACTTTATCTGTAGAAAAAATTCGTATTAAGTGAAAGTTACTTCACGTGAGAAATATAACAATGAGACATATTTCCTCTATACATATACTTTTTAAAAGATATTTTATTTATTTACTTGATGTCGGGTAAAATTATTGAATCCATGAGGTATTTCTTGAGAAAAACAGCTGAGACATTTGGTAATCAGAGGAAATTCGAACTACATGTACACTATATGCAATGTTCATATACAAATATGATACTAACAGTGAACTCCATGGTACATGTAGAGACTTCATTTGTTTGAATTTGTTTGAATTGTTCTACATAAAATATCTTTTTTGTGGATATCTTTAATGTGATAATAATAAACAAAAATACATTTGACACTTACATATTGGAAAACAGAGGAAATTCGAACTACATATACACTACATGCAAAGTTCATATACAAATATATGATACTAACAGTGAACCACATGGTAGAGACTTCATTTTTTTTTTATTGTCCTACTTAAAGCATCTTTTTGAGTGGATATCTTGAATGTCATTATAATAAATAAACATTAATACACTTGTAATTTCCAAGACCATATAAACCATCAATAATTACATTTTTTTTTAATATAAATAAAGTATATTATTATTATTTCAACTCTGTAGCTATATTGTTTTTATTATGTTTGTATTAATAAAATTGTATTTTATGTACAACACAATTTTGTAGATGATAAAGATAAACAAAAAAAATCCTCTAGTAGACTTTCATATACACATTAATCAGAGAAAATATGGGTTAAAAATTCATTGGGTTGGTGACTTTGAACCTCAATATATACTACCTATAATATCTAAACCCCAATAAACCCCTTTCTGTTTCTTAAGTATTCTTCTTTAGTCATTCCTTATTACATATAAACTGTATATCAATCAAAATATCATGAAATTTAGTCAAATATTTAAATGGTCACCTTTCTCTGAAACCTGAATTCACAGATGAATAAAATGATGCTAGGGTACCCATGTTTAAGATGCTCTCTTATTTGTAATTTTCAAGATAAATTAAAAACTTTTGTTGTTCTGTAATCAGGAATAATGTGCAATTGTAAAAATATAATTCATTTCAAAATATTTTCATATTTAAAATTTCATGAGCATTGCTAATGAATGTAGTACGGACTACGGAGAGTTGACGTTTGAATGTTATTTAAAAAAGTCGTCACTTTTATCATAAAGCTTGGTTGTTAGATTACCATTAACATTCTAATTATGCCTCAACAACCTTTCTCGCAAAATGCATGCCATAATTCTAAATCAGCAAGCAGCACATCACATCACTTGCCACTCATGGCACATGGCACATCTTTCTCCCGCGGTCTTTCACATTTGGGCGTGATATTTGGAAGATACTAAAGACCTGATATACTAAAGACCTGATATTGACCTGATGAAATAAAAATTAATATAATTTATTTGTTTTCTGTGTTTAACATTATGTTTTGGTTTTGATTATATTTCTGGGGTATAAGACAGATATTCTGGCATAATTATTTGTAAAAATATTGGTATAATTATGCGCAACGAGCCACAAACTACGGAAATGGCTTGACCTGATATTTTTTTATTGACCTGATATTGACCTGATGGAAATAAAGACTTATAAATTCTCCGTGTTTTTTGGTTTTTATCGTTATGTTTTGGTTATTTTTATATTTCTAGGGTATAAGACAGATATTTAGGCATACTTATTTGTAAAAATATTGGTATAATTATGCGTAACGAGCCACAAAATACGGAAATGGCTTGACCTGATATTTTTTATTGACCTGATATTGACCTGATGGAAATAAAAACTTATAAAATCTCCGTGTTTTCTGAGTTTATCATTAAATTTTGGTTATCCTTATATTTCTAGGGTATAGGACAGATACATTAGGTATGTTTGGGTTAAAAATATCGGTATAATTATGAGTAACGAGCTGTAAAGCAAGAAAGTGTATTGACCTGATATTTTCTGTTGGCCTGATAGAAATAAATTCTCCGAGTTTTCTGTGTTTATCGTTATGTTTTGGTTATTCTTATATTTTGGGGGTATAGGACAGATATTTTAAGCATAATTATGTTTAAAAATGTTGGTATAATTATGTGTAACGAGACATAAACTAGGAAAATCGTTTGACCTGATTTTTCCATTGACCTGATAGAAATAAAAACATATAAATTCTCCATGTTTTTCTGTGTTTGTTTTTCTCTTATTCTTATTTTTTTTATTTCTTTCTGTACAGAAAATATAGTCCGTCATTTGACAAAATTTTTGAAACTCAAAATATGGATTTTATTATCGTAAAAGATTAATACTGATAAAGATATCTTTTTATGTCTTGTTCAGAATTTGTTAAATATACTTACTTTGGTAGTAAAAATTCAATACTATCTTGACAGTCTACCTATTCCCACTTTTTTGAAAATCATGTAGAAAAAGGTAAGATTTAATGTGGGAATAGGTGGAATTTTGGGTAAACAAATAATTAACTATGTTCTTAAATCTAGGTATTAAGTTGCTTTTTCTTGTAATATCTTTTTATTATTTTAAAATTCTGAAATAAATCATATTTTCTCATAGATGTATTCATTATTTTCTGTCTTAAAATGTACAAAATACAGGTAAATCTAAACATCTATTCTTATTTGCAAGTGGGAATAGGTGGAATTGAGATTTTTAAAAAGTAGGAATAGCTAGAAGACACCATCTTGACGAGAGTGTCAAAGGGTTTTTCTCCTGTTGTTGTGTATACACACTGCCTAATCGATAGGGTTTGTATATACAGTGATAAGATATACACACCTGTGTTCTGACAATTAACAATGCCCCCACATGTTTTGATAAGCACCGGAATGTATAATCAATTGAAAATTTATTAAGAGATTAAACAATGTTTCTCTCTAATTAAGAAAAAAAAAAATGATTCCATAAACACTGATAGTAAAAATTCTTTGTGAGCATTAAAATATTTGTGAAGTTTTCTATATAAAATTCTTTTCACTTTAGTAAAAAAAAAAAAAAATAATAAATTTGTTAAGTTTATAACGATCTAGATTCTCCAATCTATATTATTCACTTGATTTTATTTGGAGATTTTTCACACGGTTTAATTAAAAAATAAAATCCATATATTCCCTACATGTATGATTAAGAGTTCTTATCTGAAAAACACTATCAAGATTTTTCAGTAACTTAAAAAATATCAGGTCATTAAAAACCACCAGGTCACTTAAAACCATCAGGTCAACTAAAACTAATAAAACTAATACATGTATCAGGTCATCCGCTAAATTTTCGGTTTATAAGAAAATATCAAGTCGATTAAAATATCAGGAAATTTCTATATGTCCTGCTAGTCTGTATGTAAAAGCGTTTTAATTTACATTTTATAAAATCTTAATAATTATCGACAGATTATCCTCGATTATCAGGCCATTCATTAAAAATATCAGGTCATGCCGTAAAAACATCTAATTTGTGATAATCGGCATATATTTGATAATAATTAGATATGTCTTAATTCTAGGAGAAAAAAAATAAATTAAATATACCAGGCATTTTAAAATCATCAGGTCATCCAATAATATAAGTGCATTGGAATTATCAGGTCTTTAGTATAATGATCAGGTCATATAAAAATAATGTCATTTTCTTGATTTGCATCTAATATTTATATGATTTAAAATAACATACTTATATTATAGTAAAACTATGCAGTTGAACTATATATTGTCAATCATAACATAAATTTAACCATATTTATCAGGTTAATAAAAATAATCAGGTCAATTGAAATTTATCAGGTCAACGTTTTCAGCGAATATTTCATAAAATTGCATCAAAAATTTATATGATTTGATATAAAACACTTATAGTAAAACTATGCAGTTAACTTATATATGGTCAATTATAACATAAATTTAACCATATCTATCAGGTTAATAGAAATTATCAGGTCATTCAAAAATTATCAGGTCAATAAAAATTTATCAGGTCAACGTTTTCTGCGAATATTTCATAAAATTGTATCAAATATTTATATGATTTAATATAAAACACTTATATTAGAGTAAAACTATGCAGTTGGACTATATATATGGTTAATTATAACATAAATTTAACCATATTTATCAGGTTAATAAAAATAATCAGGTCATTCAAAATATGTCAGGTCGACGTTTTCAGCGAATATTTCATAAAACTGCACCAAATATTTATATGATTTGAAATAAAACACTTATATCATAGTAAAACAATGTAATTAAAATATATATGGTCAATTGTAACATAAATTCAAGCATATTTATGAAGTTAATACAAATTATCAGGTCATTCAAAAATTATCAGGTCAATTGAAAATTATCAGGTCAACGTTTCAGCGAATATTTCATAAAATTGGATCAATATTTTATATAATTTAAAATAAAACACTTATATTATAGTAAAACAATGTAATTAAAATAAATATGGTCAATTATAACATAAATTCAAGCATATTTATGAAGTTAATACAAATTATCAGGTCATTCAAAAATTATCAGGTCAATTGAAAATTATCAGGTCAACGTTTTCAGTGAATATTTCATAAAATTACATCAATATTTTATATAATTTGAAATAAAACACTTATATTATGGTAAACCAATGTGATTAAAATATGTATAGCCAATTAAAACATAAATTCAAGCATATTTATGAAGTTAATACAAATTATCAGGTCATTCAAAAATTATCAGGTCAATTGAAAATTATCAGGTCAACGTTTCAGCGAATATTTCATAAAATTGC